TTGACTGCCAGCCCCAACTGGTCCTTGTGTACGCGGCGCTTCGACTTGGGTCGCGCCATAGTCGGGGACATTGTTCCGATCCCTTGGTTCAAAACGACGTGGCTGAGGGGGTTCTTGAAGCTCGACGGGCAGTCGAGGCGATAGGCTCGTCGGTAGCCGTGGAGCACAGACGAATCCTGGGCTGACCATTTGATCTGTCCGCAGCGGGCGCATGTTAGCAAATCCACAGCATGCCGGGTGATAGGACGGCGAGAGAGGCGCGACGAACATTGCCTGAGGAGCTGAGGTCAACCGACGTGTTACCACTGTTGGTAGACGCATTGTCTACTTCCTTGAGACCGCTGCCGTTCATGACGCTGGTCGCGCCGTTGCGACGGCCACCGCGAGGGTTCGAGGCCTGGAGCGTGTGCAGTTTGTCCTTGAGCGACGGGTGGGCGTCGTCGGGGTTGTGGGTGCGTTTTGGCGGCATAGTGCAGGGCCAATGGACGGCTGCGGCGAGATACAGACACGCTGGGGGCTGGTGAGGAGCGTGCGAGGAGTCGTCGAGGAGTCGCGATGTCTGGTCATGCGCTGTCCTAGTACGGGCGGCCAGCGAGAGGAGAACAAAATGACGGCAAAGGGTCCAAGCGTAGTAAATGACGTTGGCGTGTCTCGGTCAGGGTCCGCCCTCGCATTTGCATTTGTCCCCTTGCCCTCGTCCTTCCCCTGCATTAGGCCTCCGTCGTCCAAATTCCATACAAGGAGAGCGAAAATGTGTGTGCGAGCATGTTGGCAGCGGGCGCCCGCTACTCGCCCTCTGCTTTTGCCTCGCCCAGCTTTGGCTCTTATGTAGACGGCGCTGCATGGCCTCGTCGTCGCGTAAGTCGCGCGTCGCTCCTCGGCTTTCCCCTCACCATCCCTCCCGGCCCCTCGCCTGAGGCCAATAGTGCACCCCGAAGTGGAAGCACTGCCGATGTCGCTGACACGGTCTGGATGGCATTGGCCTCCTTCGCCATGCCATTTGGAAAGCAAAAAACGGCCAGTCTGCTCGTACACGGGATGTGCCAGCCATCTCGGCCCTTTGCCGCCCGCATGTCCTTCAAAAGTGGAGACGCGTAAGCTTGTGTGCAAATGTTCCCCTAGCCCTCAGCAGCTGGCCGTGGAGCCTCCTCATACTACACGAACCGCCCGTGTGTCTGTTGTTTGGGTGCGCATATGGGCCCGAGAAAGACGACTGCCATGCGTAGCGCGGGGGCGCAGAGATTGATGAAGAGGCTGATAAGCGAGTGCCACAACGACAAAAAGGAAGAGCAGATGCTAGTTGCAGTCGGAATCCTCTCGGGACCCAAGCAAGTACCCGCAGCTGGGGTTAGCGCAAGTCGGGGTTCAGTAGAGATGGGTGAGTACCGGAACAAGTAATAGTCGAGTGACAACCTGTCCAAGGTGATTGGATGTCAGTCAAACCAGCCGCATCATGGACGAGCTGCTTCAGCCAGCAAAAGACACAGTTCCGGCCACATGTGTGTATCGTAAACACACTTCTGACATCTTTTCTGAATCCGACCACGGAGTGTTATCTTGTCTATGGCGTAGTCCATCTTGCGTAGTCACCTGAACTCACAATTCACATGTATGCCCTCTATCAGACTTACTTCACTTCACTCACTTCAAGCAACATGAACAATCACCGTTTCACCACCGCTTCTCTCACCTTTCGTATGTATAAGCAGCTTCCACACAGCTTTCAGCACGCTCCACCATCTCCTCAACATCACACTTCTCTGCTATCTCATCCAACAGTGTTCAGTCTACTAAGGCCTCTGCCAGCATCATACACGCCAGCTAGCCATTCAAGTTGCAAGCATTAGCCATTGGCTCGCGGTAGTTCTCCAAGGCCTCTCACCTCTCGGTTTGTTTCAAGCTGATATTCGTAGCAGTTTTTGGATAACTTCAAAGCTTCCTAGCTGCAAGAGACCTCATCACTTCCTCGATACGGCATCCAAACACAGCATGTCCCTTCCCTTTCAGTGTTCTTCACGCCCCATCAAAACCATGGGTAAACACCTTGATCCTGCAGCTAGTAAGCTCTCGCCCTTCGCTTCTCGGCAGAACAACGCGGCCTTTCAGGCAAGCAGTCCTTCCTCATATCTTGAGTCCCGTATCTTGATCCTCGAAGAGAGGCACGCAGGCTTACAGGAGGATGTCGTTGGGCTTAAAGGACTCTGTCACGCCCTCTCCTCTACCGTCGACAGGCTGAACAAACATGACTTGCCAGTACACGCCGGTCCGTTGCGAACTGTCAGTGACATTGAAGCATCACTTCAAAGTGCTAAACACTTCGGCATGGAGTTGAAAAGGCTTAAAGAAGAGGCTCATGAGCCAGTTAACGATTCCGACGGTACGGCCAAGAAGTCGACTCCTCCCCATTTGCGTAGAAATAAGGTTGAGTCTAGCATTGGTGATGGGTGAGCCTTGTATGCCCTGATATTCATCGAGCTGTCGAAAGCTGATTATCTCAGTCCAAAACAGAGTCATGCTATTGCACTTGTCGATTCACAAGCTAAGCAGCAGCTGATGCCAGCGCCGACACCTCCTCCTTCCCCCAAGATCACCGTCCGAGGCGAATCAGAGTCTTGGAAGCCTCACCATATCACCACCTTGGCCCCATTTGCAGGCCCCATTCCATGCGCAGATGTCACGTTTCATCCAGACTTCCTTGCAAACCATCTGGGTGGCATTCCTTGGTCACCAGGTGTGCGGTTTGTTAAAGGCAAAGGCCCTTGCATACTCAAGAACCGTACATACTACCAGTTAGACCTGGAAAATGAGCCATATCTCCCACGAGCACCTGGAATGCACGGTGCCAAACTCACAGCATTCTTTAACAAGGCTCCCGAAGAAGAGTTTGGCGACCTTTTCGACACTGACTCCAACTCGTACGAGAATGTACCTATGTTCGTCCTTGTCAACAAACGTTACGTGTACTTTGGCAATTACTCGCAGACCCGCTGGTCCGACAAGTTGGATCATGACACCATGACAACTAAGGTTCCTGAACATGTCAAGAACTTCTGGGCCGAAGAGCTCGCTTCGCCGACAAGAGAAGAATGGGTTACCGAGGAACTTAAGAACCACTTCTTCCGCAGGCCTGAGTATAGCGGCTGTCTTTTTGCTGCCCCAGACAATGAGACTACTGTCAACTCTGCCGAAGAAGCAAAGCTCACTGAGAAAATGGTTAGAGATGTGCGCAAATATGTCGACGAGCTTCGTCAGTGGGATCGTGAAGCCAGTATGAAGACGGCCATGATCAAGAAGCAGTCCATTCTTGATGCATTCAATGCGGTAAGTGATCTGACAGCACAGAAAGAGATATTGCTGACCCCGCGCAGTCGGATATGGATGAGACTCCTGCACTTCGTCTCTGGTGGGAGTACCTCGAGTGCGTCGACTGGAGGAAGGACTTCTATGACCTCTTGGTAACTCTCCAGAAACGTGAGGGGCAGAAGTACGTCTAGGTAGCCGTCACAGTGCGTGCTAAGATTGTTTGAGAGGCGAGCATCTGTCAAAGTGGAATTGGTTTAGTTCTCTAGCCGGAGGAGATTATTGATGAATTGTGGCGTTAAGGTAGGATATCCACTTCTCACATGTGAGCATGAAGCAGCACGGGTGGTACTCAAGTCCAGAACGGAGAAGATGTGAGAATCTTCTCCTTCCTTCTTGAGCAATGTTCTGAGTGTCTTTTATTTGGACGTCCTTGGGCTGTGTGGCATCCTGAGTTCATCAAAATGCAGTAATATCAATTTGGAGTGGCCAATAAATTCTCAACACAACCATCTCCCTTGCTTTCGACATAGCCCTTTTGAGTAGCAATCTCAAGTGCAGAAATTCGACATAGACTCACCCCCGTGCAGCCCCTTATTTGGCTCGGTGTCCTTTCCTCCTGTCCTGAAATTGCAGCGGCGCCGCCCCACTTAATCAACACTACATATACACAATCTGCACTACCAAACAAGCCTAGTCTATTCGACCACAGCTCAATACAGAGCTTGGGAAATCCCGTGTTTGCGTCGGAGTTTTGGTCACTCTGCCCGAAGAAACGCAGCCCACATTTTTTCTACGTCTCAATCTTACCATGGACCTGGTACTCTGTTCAACATCTCATTTGTCGACTATCCATGCGTCGGCCGATTCACACCTCATGCAATCTTCTCCGGCACTACTGCAAAGCGATATAGAACAATATATGTCATTGGGGCAGATGACGTAGCGCATTGCCTAGACTCATGAGTAACTTTGAGAGTGGGTATCGTCGCCATCCTGAGATTGATATGATACGGCGTTAACAAAGACTTTAAGGGTTCATCTGAACTTTCCTTGATCATCCGCAATCGAACCTCCGGCATTGTGCAATAGCTGTTCGGAAGGACGTTTCTCAGCTCCAATCTCTGTCGCCGTTGTCATTAGGCCACTGACAGTACTACTAGCCGTGAAACGCCGAAGCTTTGATCGTAATACTTCAAAGCGGAACAAGCATTCAGAAATCCCAATCAGGAAGATTTTAGCGTAGAATAGCCCACGTGTCAAATCTATTACACACTCAAGTGACAAGCAACATCCTGCCGCTTTCCCCGCAACTTTGGACTTCCGGCTGTTGATACCCCTGCACTATTCATTTATGTCACGACGAAAATTTCGTCTTATTCGCCATACTCGCCAAACCATAGAGTTTGTCTTATATTAGTATCGGATGGGGTTTTAGTTAATGCTCCGACTACAATGGCTCTCTATAGGCCACGATCTCGCCTGGCTCTATATAATCAGAATATGGAACTCGACAACCGGTTTGGGTGTTGTTTCATCGCTGGGATGTTACGATATACATCCGGAGTGCGCGTGACATTGATCGAATACGCGGAGGCTCAGGAAAGATATAAATTGATCGCATTCTTGGCTCTCTTGCTATCCACTAAACTACGACCTTGGGTTACACTAGATATCCACCTTGGCAATCTATATCCAACATGAAGTCTTCTGTATTTCTCATAACAGCCGCGCTTTCCTTGACTGCACTTGCACATGGAGGCATTGACGAGTACATCACTGGTGATGAAGTATACCAAGGGTACGCCTCTTCCTACGTATCGAATACTTCGATGAGGGCTAAGAACATTCAGTTGGCAACCATACAACGACCCAACCGGACAAAAGAGTATACAGAGACAGTACTCATCCTATGATCCCCTGTTGATCAAGGATCTCACGGTAAGACTTCAGTACAACACGAGCCACTGATATTCTAACCCACTCTCCAGACTGTGAACATACGATGCAATAACAAAGGATTATTAGGCACCGGTGTGACAGGCACTGTTGCCGCAGGCGCCAAACTGACAACCCACTGGAAGCAATGGACCCATAGACCAGCCACATTTATGGTCTACATGGCCAAGTGCCCCGGTTCATGCAACAGCTGGGACGGCTCAGGCAAAGTCTGGTGTAAGAATGAACACCCATTCTACCAAACCGCCCACATCACTAACCTCAACCCCAGTCAAGATCTTCGAGCAAGGTCTCATATCCGGGACCGAAAACGCCGGTATCTGGGCCGGCGACGCCATCTTCGAAACCCTCAACGCAACCATCACCGTCCCCAATGGGCTAGCCGGCGAGTACATGTTCAGACACGAACTCATTGCCCTGCACCAGGCAAACAATCCCCAATGTACTTTCCCCCTCACCACTCTTATACTCCAACACTATTCAGCTCAACTAACGCCCCTACCCAGTCTATCCAGAATGCGCCCAATTCACCGTTACGGGCTCCGGCACCGCATCGCCTCCTGCCTCCTACTTAGTGTCATTTCCTGGCGCGTATACGGGGACGGAACCCGGTCTTGCGTTTGACATTGACTCGGAGGAGGCGAAGAAAGCGACCAAGTATCCTTTGCCCGGGCCGCCGTTGTGGGATGGGACTAGTAGTGGTAATGCGACTATGCCTGGGTCGGCGGCACCTTCGACAGCGGCTATGAAGCAGCGTAGTACTGGTACTTCGGGGCGGCTGCGCCGACATAGGAAGTCTTAGGCTATACTAGGTCCAGTAGTTGTGTGAGTGGGTTGATGTGCGTGGATGATGCTGGTTGTTACAATCAGTGTGAGCGAGATGGAGCTTGGGTGAATATTGAACATTCGTAAATGGGAGCCTGTCCAAATTCGAGTTCCAATCTACCCCTCTCTTGTTCTATCTTCTTCTAGTTCAGTCGCTGGATATCCGACAAAGCAGCTATCTTCCACTCAAGCACATACGTAAATATAGTTACATGTTCCCTACCCTCTTGATGCGTACTTCAAAAGTACTTCACCCCACACGTCCAAGTATAGAAATTGAAAAAGGTGAATCGATTCTGAAAATTGTTAGGCTTGGTTTGTCTCGTGCGCATGGATCATGTCAAAAAACCTACTACTTCGCCTATGTGAACGTATGTAAATTTTTCATGTTGCTCAAAATATGCTCAAGGCAATCACGCGCTTCGCTTTTCCACAGCAGATATCTTTGGCAGAGCATCCTTCAATTGCTCCTTGTCTTTTTCAGTAGGGGTATAGCCAAGTTTTTCTTCAGCCACATCGGAAATGTAGAGGCCAACACCCGCATACGCCATGACTCCCACACCGATGATCATGCGTGTCTTTGGTGGTATGCTCTTGAACCACCTGAACACTGGTCAGTAAGTCAAAATACTCTTGTCACCACTCAGATAGGATATTTCGTACTGCCAAACGGCCATTGTGGGTGTTGTGGAGTTGTTATTGTCGTGATGCTCCAGGCTCGGTAGGATGACGACGCACAACGACTCGCAATGCCAAGACCAGGCCAAGTACCAGCAGCACGCGCCATCTCACACCACAACCTCGACAACTTTCATGGTTCAACTGATCTCTCACAGTCCTGTTGTTCCCTCCAGCTTGACGCAATTGGCAGGTCATGGCATGTCTGCGTTGAAACACTAACGTCGACTGTCGCATCTCCGCACCCGTCCCGGAGGACAGATGTGCGCGCTATTACCACCCGCTTCTTGAGGCCCCCGCCAGCACTATAAGGCTTCTAATCTTCTTCAATCATGCCCGGCTTCCGCCGCTGGGGCAAATCCAAGTTTGAACGAAATCCCGAGTCGTCGTTCAAGCTCCTTGCCGCCATCATCGTCATCACCCTCTACCTACTCTTCAAGGAGTTTCAGAATCCAACCTTTCGCGGACAGGGTGCGACGCAGGCTGGCGCACAAATACAATATGCCGACTGGAACGGTACTGGAAAGGTGGACGAGACGCGGGCAAACAGTGTGCGCGATGCCATGAAATATACCTTCTGGAAGTACAAGGAGCGCGCTTGGGGTCATGACGATATCTTGCCTGTGTCAGGGCGCAGTGCTTCGTCCAGAAATGGCTGGGGCGCTTTCATCGTAGACTCGGCAAGCACGCTGGCCCTGATGGGCTTGTGGGATGAGCTAGCACACTCGTTGGAGCACATGGTGGCCATCAACTTTACCCAAACAGAGGACCTTGTCGACCCCTTTGAGACCACGATACGCTACTTGGGCGGGCTCCTATCCATTGTGGATCTGTTTGATGTCGGGCTGATTCCCGAGGATGTACTAACCGGAGAGGCGCGCGATCTCATACTTGATCAGGCAGTTGTTCTAGCAGGCAAGCTAGCACCAGCATACGACACCCCTACAGGCTTGCCGTGGCCCCGTGTAGACTTTAAGACAGAAGAAGGCGAACCACATCCTTCTTTCATCCTACAAGATGATCCCGCACAGCGTGAGTTTGAGCACCCTGCAATTGGACCTGCACGAATCGGCTCTTCAATTCTGGAAAACCGCGTCCTGACAAGGCTGACTGGCGATGATATCTACGTCTTGAATTCTACAAAAGCATGGGCACCTCTAGTATGGTCCAATTGGAGGACACCATGGCCAGGAATGGTAGATGCGCCTGTCGATATCATGACAGGAGAGCCCGTCCGCCGCCAAAGACACTGGGATGGCGGTCACAATTCCTACTACGAGTACCTGGTCAAAATGACAATCTTGGCGCCTCCCTCAGACCCCCATCTCCCGAAGTACAAAGAACGTTTCGTGAGGGCCGCCTACTCTCTCCGTAGACACCTTGCCTCCCGCTCTGCGCCCGCACCCGGACATCTCATGCAGCACCTATACCTCGGCCGCCAAGATGACGAGCAATTTGAGAACCAACAAGGCCACCTTGCCTGCTTCGCCCCCGGAACCATCCTCCTCGCCTCAAAATTCTACACCGAAAAACCTCTCCGCACTTTTGCTCTCGCACTCCTTGAGGGATGTCACCACGCATACACGTCGACCCCCACTAAAATCGCCCCAGAAACATGGTCCTGGACCCCAAAATTCAGCTACGACAAGCCGCTCTTCGCTCCGGAAACCCCGCGCCAAAAGAAAGAAGCGTCTACCACTGGTATCTGGTCTCGCGATCCAGCATACAAGGGTCGTCCCGAGTACGTCGAAAGCATTTTCTACGCCTGGCGTATTACCGGCGAGCAACGCTATCGTGACTGGGCCTGGGATGCGTTTTCCGCACTCGAAAAATATTGCAAGGCGCCATTTGGATATGCACAACTAGCAGACGTTTACGATACCAGTTCAAAGGATGAGACCAGATGGGTTGATGTGCAAGAGAGCTTTTGGGCCGCCAAGACGCTCAAGTATCTCTGGCTTACGTTTTCGGATGTCGAGGTCACGAGTCTGGATAGTTGGGTGTTTAGTACTGAGGGGCATCCTTTTCGGATGATTCGCTGAGCGTGGGGAGTGGGGTACGATGTGAGGTTCGTGACGCGGGGGAGTATTGTGACTAGAAACTCCAAAAAGAAGAATGGAGGAAAGGTCATTTGTATTGTAGGTAAAAGGGGCGCAATGATACCCGGCATTTGTCTAGTTTTAGTTGAAATGAAGGAAAATTAAGATGATTAAGAGTTTTTTCCTTCTTAACAAGTTTTGAGCTTTTTTTGTCTTTCTTTCATTCAACGACCTTTTAATTCAGTAATTTTGTTAGCGCTTATTACAGCGTCTTTTGTCCTTGGTATCTCCCGAGATTCTCCGTACATCAATCGATTATGTATCCCCCTCCTACCCCTCCCCGCTTTCCCACTGTCATCTCATCCGTTCCCACCCGACGCTTTCCGCCCATTAACTCAACAATCATCACATTCACACCAAAACAAAACAAAAGCACTACACTCATCACACCCCACATTGAACGTCTTGCAGAAAAAAAAAGAAGAATTATGATGGACATAACATAGCTTCCGCAGCATACAAAATCAGATGAAAAAAAAACTTTCAAATACGTTGTTTTGGTATTCTCTGCATAAAACAAAAAAGCGGGATCAAATAATCAACTATTGTCGAACCCCTCCACCCCCCAAAAAGATGATGCTGGGTATATATAAATGAGTAAATCATGGAGAGATAGAGAGAGCGCGAGGAAAAGAACTAGGTAGGAGTAGTAGGTATTGTTTGGCAGACAGAATGACAAGAAAAACAGGTGGACATGTCGTTATGGAACCAGAAACACGCTAGGGAAAAGGGAGGGGTTGGAGGGGGGCTAACTTTCTACACGTTTGCCCTCTCATACCGCCACCGCCCCCCTGTTTTTGTCGTGGAAAAGAAATTCAACGCGATTACGGGACCGTTTTATTGGTGAGGAAGAGATTTGACAAGGAAAAGAAAACACATGTAGATGAGGGATTGATGAGGGAGATATAGGAATTGTGTTTGTTTAGGCCGTGGTATAAGTCTTTGCGTTAGCAAAAACCGCGTTTTTTTTTCAAACAGTACCGAGTAAGAATTTCCAGTGAAAATCATTACTCGTCACGTCGAACGAGGGGTTTACGTCCCGGAGACTAGGCAGCTTCTCTGCACCATTTGTGATACCGCCGTTGATCTTAGGGAGGGCGAGGTTATGTAGTAGCGATACTGTGCGGCCTGAGCCTGTCGAGAGCTCAAACGTGGTGCCATTGGGACTCCCTCTACCAGGTGCGTCGTGCAGAGCCAAACGCATAGTCGAGGTGATGCGACGGAACCGCTCGAAGGCGTCTTCTCGATTGTTTGAGGTATCTCGTGGGCGCGGCATCAGCGAGGAGAGTTGGTCGCGGTAGTAATCAAATGTTCGTGCTAACTGCAGCTCGCTGGGGTCCCAGCCGGGGATCGGCGATGCGTAGAGGGCGAGTTTACTCAAGCTGGTAATGGTGTTTACGAGGTTGAGCCAGTCGATTAATGAGACAGATTCGAATTGGTTCGAGGATAGTTTGGTGGTATTGTCAAGAAATTGCTCGAGGGATCGCACGTACGTCACACGTAGCGACAACTGGAACCCTGAGGCCCAAGGCGTACAGTCTCGGTCTACAAGATCGACAGAGGCGGCGATTCGGTAGAGATGTATACGGGCCGCAAGCTGTAGCCATTGCAAGGTTGCTGGTGTGCTGTTAGTGCTGCTTCAATGAGGCTGTTTACATTTAATGCTCACCAAAGTCATTCGCCTGTAGTTTGGAGGAAAGGCGAATGTTCTCCCACTTCTCGTTCAAACGATTGACTTGTGTGCGAACAACTACTGCCTGCTCTGACTGACTGCGAAACGTCTCCTCCACATCTTCCATGTACTGACAGACGTCCATCAATATAGGGAGAACTGTGTCAGTTTTGTTTTCCCATGAAGAAGCAAGTTCAGAAGCGTAATTTCGGACAGTTGTTGTATGAGACATAGATCGCGCCTTCAGAGGCTGCATCAACCCTATATTGGAGGATAGATAGTAACAACCCAGGTAAGCTCGTTTTGCTTCTTTGTCTCTGGGATCATCCTTGTGCAGAGGACTCCTTGCGGCTCTTGATAGGTTGTCCAAACCCAGGTCATGTGCTATGCCCAGGCACAGTTGAAGAAGCAAGGTGATTGAAACGGCCTGAGCGTCCATGTAGTGCTGGTGCCAAGCTATAAAAACCAGCAGTCCCTGGAGTAAATCCAAACTCTTTTCGCCTTTCATGATTTTAACCATGACTACCTTTCGGAATTCTTGGCTAAGTGCATGCCGGAGCGATGGTGAATCGTAGGATGCGGCTGTTAATACAGCAAACAACAACATTGGGCGATTGTGGAACAGATCCTGGCAACGACAGTCCCTTGGTACAATCACAAATGGAAAGTAGTCGACCATGCCACGGTAGGTATCAAGCAGCATTTGCATGTGTACCAAGCTGATAGACCGGATGAGGGGATCTAATCGGCTAAGACATGACAGAGTTTCGTTAAAAGATTCCCAAAATGGCACTGGATTTTCGGGTTGAGATCCAGGGCTGAGGAGAAGTGCAGTGCTAGGCGCAGACGACAGAGGCACTGTTGGAGCAATTGCTTGTTTTGCCGTTGGGGCTTGCTGCGGCGTGTCTAGGACTGCCAGTTGGGAGGGAATAGTGACTACCGAGGGTAAACTGGTTTGAGCCGACGAGGGCGCCATGGTCGCAACAATGGCAGACAGTTTGTCCAGCTTCTTGTCAAAGTCGCGCAGCTTGCTGGGAGTCTGGCCATCACTGCGCGCCTTTGCTGGCCGCCTGCGGGCGACATGCTCTACGCACTCTACTCTAGCCTTCTGGCACCTGGGGCACGTGTCATTGGATGTGGAGTAACAACAGCGACGGGTCAACATACCTTTGGCAAATGCTCGGAGTGTCCGAGGGCACACAGCGAACCTTGTGTTTTCGACATCTTTCGCAGGCAAAGGCATTGCCTATCCTGCCCTCCCGAACGTCCATGATGGGAGCGAGGCTGGCAGACTTGGGAGAGGGAGAGCCATCGGTCTCCGGTTGCGTCCTCGCGGAGGTCGCGCTCGTGTGGGGAAGTCCGATCATATGCCAAGTCCGGGGTCGAGGTTGCTGTGAGGAATAAAGGGCTCCAGGCGCGCGTATTGGATGGTGCCAGAAATCAACACTGCGCTGACAGGCCGGTTGGCGACACGGTAGGCCATTGCATCGAGACGCGAGAGCTTTGAAATGCGTGCAGCCGCGGGCTTGCCCATGTGGCAGTGCGAAATCGTCGAGATACCTCGGGTAGTATGGGCGTCGGCGCATCAATGGCCCGCCCTGCCGGCGGCTACATACTCCCGACTCCAGCAAAGCTGCTCAAACGCCTTCCGACTGGTCCGAACTTCCGTCCAATCCATGCCGGGGGGTGGTGGTCAACATAGCGTCTTTATAACGTGAGCCATGTCTGGCGCAGACAAAGAGGTGACGACGCTGGCCGTCAGTCCCCTGGGTAGAAACAGACGGCTCGCCCCCTAGACGCGACGCTACCACGATAGTTTTTGCCCTCGACAGCCGGCTTTGATCATGACTAACCTACTAACCACACGACAACGACATGGCATTCCAAGCCCCACGCGGCCATGCGAGCGGCTTTGCAGGAACCATCGGATGGGGCAACAGACCGGCCCTTCTGCTGGTCGACGTCTGCAATGCTTACTGGAGTGAAGATAGCCCGCTCGACACCCGGTCAAACCCTGCCTCTGCGGCGGTGCCCGCATCCATCGCAAAACTCGTCAATGCCGCCCGCCAGGGAAAAGTACCATTGATATGGACCCGCGTTGAGTACATGGAGCCTGACATGGCCGACGCGGGGCTGTTCGCCTGCAAGGTCCCGTTGCTGCATGTTTTCCAGCGGGGCAAGGAGACGGGCCTCGAGAGTTGGGTTCCAGGCCTGGAGCCTGCTGCAGGGGAAATCGTCGTGTCCAAACGCTACCCGTCCGCCTTCTTTGGAACCGACCTCTCGACACGACTCCAAGTCTCCCGTGTGGATACTCTGGTCATCTGCGGTGTCAGTACCAGTGGTTGTGTGCGTGCAACTACTCTGGACGCAATGTGTCTGGGATTCCGACCAATGGTGTGCACTTATATGGCAATGACTGGGCCTGTGGAGACGTCGCTAACCATGTAACCAGGTTGTTGGCGAGGCCTGTGGTGATAGATCACCTGCTGTCCACGATGCAAATATCATGGACATGGGCGCCAAGATGGCAGACGTGGTTTCCGAGAAAGAGGCGATTGAGAAGCTCAAAGCTGGATGGTTGTGAATGCATTCCGCTGAGCTCGGCCCGTCCGTCGTCTTGCCGTTTTCCACTCTCTCTCTCGTCTTGGACGTTTATTTTAGGTTGAGAGATTGGGCTTTTGGGCTGGTATTTTGTGTCGCACCATCTTCCACGGCGGGGCCAAGTCAGCATTTAGCATGTTTAGAGAAATAGAGCAAAATCTCAAAGGTACAAGATGAAGCGCAGCCCAACCAGCTCATCAGATGCAGTGACCTGACATGGAACCAGGCATGCCCGATGACCTGCCCTTTCCTGATTCTCGCTGCCTGCTTCACATTGGCAGCTACGTGTACACACTTACTCTACCCGCCAGATTGGATCGTACGTAACTTCAACTGACTCACGCCACCCTATACTGTGCCGACAAACTCCGCTACCAACACTCGCAAATACCTAGCGACGGGTTGTCGTTCACAGTAAATACACCACCACATGTTTGCCTTGGCTTCCTCGGTATGAACAAGCGTGCCCTGCCAGTCCCGGCACTGCGCTACACTCCCTATCCTGGTGCTGAGCCGATACCCGACTGTGTATGGGAGTGTTGCAGATGTCGTAGGAGATGGTACACAAAAGAGATGGGTCATATATGTATTGGATGCAGCCATACATACTCAGTCGACTGTTGTCATCTTGCTCAGTAGTAACGCCAGCCTTGTGGTGGTAGTCAAGGGCCTTAAAGATTATGTAAGACTATCATCTAACTACTACCTATCATCAGCGGTACTTGACCGCGAGAGCTTTTTCCACATGAATTCGGCTGACGACAAGGCAGACCCCAACAGCTTACTCCACTCTCAAACATTGGTCCGAGTTTCCTTTCCTTCTCCTGACAGCCTTCTGACTATGCTCATTTCTAGACTCCTTTGCTATATCCACTCTGTGCGACGTCATCTGCATGCCCTTGCAGGTTTCGGTCATGATCTTCCCATCAGTCATGGACGAATACTCGATTTTTCCTGACATCATTTGTCTACCATTTACTTGGCCTGACCATATCAAGATCGATTAATCATGTGCGGCCCTCAAGCTCGCGTACCTAGCGTCCATGGCATCTGCACCTCACCCCGACTACCCTGCCGAGAAGACTTTGTCGGTCTCCACATGGCGAAAATTGGTGCAGGAGTCAGCTCATGGGCGCTCTTCCTCCATTCGTCGCTTGCATTCGGTTGTTCGGTATCGAAGGCAATTTTCAGCAACGATTGAAAACCAAACTTTTCGTATAGCGGCTTGCCCATGGCCGACGCTTCCATCCAACATTCCACATCGAGCTCGTCGGCACGCACAACTCCCACATCCATAAGCAGGCAACCGATACCCCGAAGTCGATGAGCAGGATCCACTGCCATCCAATTGAGTGCTATTGGCCATTGTTAGCGACTGGAAGAAAGCAACTCCAACTATTTTTCAATACTGTCGATCTGCGGAATAGTAGCGCGTTTGGAAAAAGAAACTTATGCTCCACTCACCACAATGGGGCCGTGCCATCCAGCTTGCGCGGGGCTTGTACACCTGATTCAGTATCGATTCGCAGAAACGCCGCTGTTCACCTTCGGGCCACCACGGTGCCTTCAAATCTGGTGCTCCTGCTGCGTAAGGATTTGTTGTCGAAATCACCCATTGTGCGCAACCCACGGCTTTGTTTGTGACGGTGTCGAATGCGTAGAACCAATGGATTGATCGATCGGCCTGGTGTTGTTCCCAGAAGCGTTGTTTCGATTCGTTGATGGCAGCCTCGCGGTGAGCAGCCGTAAAGCCAAGGACAGGAAACACAAGTTGAATAAAGGGTTCGTAAGGTGTGTAGTTTGCAGCCCAAATAACTTCCAAGATGCTATCCAACTCTTGCTTTGTTTTGGCCTCGCGGACAAAGTATCTTTGGCCCATGGTTGCACTTCAGTGATCAGATGAGGCTGTGGCGATATCGGACAGGTAATGTAGTCGTCGAATACGCTACCTTGCCGCCATGGCGCATGGACAGCGGAACCGGAGATATAGCATATTCCAAGTATTGGACATCGTAGATTGCCGTGTTAGGGTGAAGACGCCCAACAAGGAAGGTACCGTTGACACTATTAGCGCCTTGGCCGGCCGGGCAAGTCACACCCTTTACACTAGCACACTTTTGCCCGATAACCCCTCGTTTGGTATCACTATCATGGCCTTAAGATGCTTGCGACCTTCCTCGATCGTACAGCGCCGGAAGACCGCCTGCTCGGCGATGTAACCGTCCACAGAGACAGATGGCGTTGCAATTCATCCACGACCCGACTGTCGGAGCGCAAAAGCCAAAGAGTTGTTTTCGCCCGACAGTAGTCGTGACGTACGCCTGTGCTACTAGTAACCTGGACACGTACTGCACAGCCAGCAGGATTTCTGTCTTATGAGGCCGCGTATGTTTGGCGCTCCATGTCCATCATATGAACCACCCCAAGATGGAAGTATCTCCAGCATATCAGCCAGTATGTCGCGACGAAGGTGATGGCTTGCCGGAACTAGAGGCAAAAGATAGCATATCATGGGACTCCAACAGCACCGAGATCATTCCGACCAATACGCGCAGCTTTGTTGCATACTTGTCGCTTCTGCTACTCTCACTTTCAGCCAACATCTTGTTGGTTATGGACAACGCCAGACTGCGCATCTTACACTCTCCTGCCAAGAGCGAGTACAGTAGGTAATGGGCATGAAATATTGGATGTGTGCTCACGGTCCTAAAGGCGGACTGACTCTCAATACCAACGTGCCCTATCACGCCATGACCAGGTACTGGCACCCTAATGCAAGCGACAGTGACATGGAGGCAGCGTGGGATGCCATCGATACAAACGCCATGGCAGTGGCACTTGACGACAAATTTGTAGAGCGTCTTGGTCTGCCCCCCTCGACTCCATTTCCATGGGACACCGAACGTAGTGTATACTATGTCAGGGGTATACACGACCTACATTGCCTAGTGAGTTCAGCATCCCTCTGCAAATCCTTAAAAAACCGACTTTACCAGAAACTTGTTCGTAAAGCTATAGTCTCGAAACATAAGGGCAGAGAACAACCCTTCAATCTGCTACACATCTACCACTGCCTAGATATGCTACGCCAAGACATCATGTGTACAGCTGATGATACACCAATGCCAGCACCATTATCCCATCAATCAGGCGATGGTCAGGACCGAAAGTGTCGCGACTGGAACAAACTAATCGCATGGGCAAGGCGTCCTGATCAGCACGCCTGTTACGAGTTCGACGACTATCGCGAGGCTACGAATACGCTTGAGAACTTTGCGTTTTGTCCGCCTTCATCTCCGTATCGAGATGTTCAGCGGGCTTACTTCGAATATCACGGGCACAAGGATCCATACGAACACAGCGAGAATGCAGAAGACGTGATCGTATTCTGAGCTCGCGAGTGACCCGCTCAAGGAGACACGAATCGCTTGTGGCTTTTTTGTCGGTCCTTTAATTCATACTAAAAGTTAGATTTTTCCACGCTACGAGCGAAAACACTCGCCTTTCAGCTCTCTACAAGTTCCGATGAGCATGCGACGCGATATCGATGTAGGCTACACAGCATAGTGGTTATTAACCACTAGCATCTCTGGACCATGGATCGGAAGACGTGTATTTTCAAGCCGCTTGACCACGAAAAGAACGAGGCAGACACCCTTATCAGTATCTTCATTCCCTGTCATCACAATCGACCGAGGTGTGGGCTTATCCTATTGTTGTGATCGATGTTCGGAGGATTTGGGGCGAGCGCAGTGCGACTGTGATTCCGAGGCTTACGATTTTTGAGAGCAGCTGAGGACAATGCACGTCTAATATGTTGGGAAGACCACGATTACATACGAAAAGTGACGGTCCCGACATGCTGAGCTGAGGTACGTAGCAGTCAATACATATATCTTAACACATAAAACATCAATATGTACTCTTTCACCCATTGCAAACTCACTCTACAATCTTTCGTCGTATGAGTAAAGCGATATCCTGTAAGCCTGCGCCATGCTGACATACTGACCTTTGGATAGAACGTAAAAACTCGCAGAAGCACGCATAATTCAAGCTACCCACCATGCACGCCGCCACTGCCCTAATCTCGCTCCTTGTCTTTGCAACGAGTATTTCTGCAGCTCCTGTATCTACACAAGCGGTAGCTCGAGCTGTGCCTGATATAAGTGAAGTGGCCCGAAATCCAGCACCGATCGACAACAGAGTTCATTGGGAAGACGGAAAACCTTCGCTTGGTGACATTGGGAATATCTCATGGGAGGACCTTAGAAAACTGAAAGAGCTTATGCATCATTTATCGGGAGGAAATGAAGCGTCAAATACCGGCACCATTGGGGAAGTCAAGACTTCTGTCAAAGACCATGGCAAATTTCATTCATGATGCTTGGTTCGCATGGGTAACAATGCCGACAGAAGTTTAAAGTATATCATCTCATTTCTTTTAGTATGATGTATTTGCTAATTGAGTACAGTTTTTTTTCACGCGCCGCACATCAAGTAGCTTGCATCCAGTACATAAGCCAAAAGCACAGTGTACAGTACAATCTACTCTTTAATCAACAAGTCAAGAGAAAAGAAACAGTTATATCTGAGAGATACGCCAGTCAATTTATCCCGTTATGCATCCTTCGTTATTTGATGAGCAGAGCGTATCTACCTTGATAGCATTCCATAGCATTCTCCATGTCAGAACTTGTGAGCAGCCATCTAGTATGGAGCGCCACCGCTGCAGCGGTGACCGGATCTCGACCTAGCACATCAATGGATCACTGCATCAGATGTGCACTGGCACATGTGTCACAATATCAGCGACCGGCCGTCTTACTCAACTTCCGGTAACAGCTGCCGTGACACAATGCCGAGAATGGTGTGCTACAGGGTTACATAACGATCGACAAGCTTAAAAGCAGGTCACCAAGCCTGTCAAAGCGGGCAAGATAAGCCTACCCGTTCTAGCGACTGGGGTATTATCTGATCTGCTAACCCAATCTGACCCACCTATTCATATGACCAGGTAACACGAACTCACATACAAGTGGGCATTTCGGTCGGCGATCAATACAGTGCTCCATTCGTGCATATCACTTTGTCGCCTTGTAACGCCTGTGCAATGCGATACAGCTGCATCTCTACATCTAGGATTTGTGCACACTTGCTAATTTTCTGTCAATATTCTGTCTTCCTTGTTTCGCTACTACAGGTGTCTTGTATTGTAGACAGACAGCGGATAACTACTTTGTGCGGTATGCTGGCTGTCAGCTCTCCAATCGCGCGTTGTCGCCCATTTGGCGGCTCGCAACCTTACTTTGTTTGCGCGCCTGTGTCGCTCCAATATGAATGGGTAGACGCATTAAGGCGTTTGATAGCCACATACACTTGTTGTTCGTATGTGTTGGCTGTTACTGGTTGACTGACGTCTCACCTGTCTCAACTGAGACTGCCACAGTGCCAGCCACAGTTGATTGAGTAATCGTTCGTCATCGCTACCACTTATTCCCTGAGATTGCAAGCTTCCGGTATCTCATACTTTTGACGAGGACGGGGAGAGTGCAAGAATGGCAATGCTGCCTTTTATTTCTTCCCGTCGTCCCATCCCGCGGCGGCCGGGAAGCGGTGCGGATGTCGGACCGTTCGTTAATGTCGTTACCTGGACCTTGCTGATTACTTCCGCACTTGCAGTTCTAACTAGACTGATTACGAAACGTACTCTTCGGAGGAGGATCGATGTTGACGATGCTTTTGTCATGCTGGCTCTGGTACGTTGTTATTGATGCATTACCTCGCTTGTTGACCTTGCTCATAGTACTGATGATGTACGTGAACTAGGCCTCAAGCATAGCATCAGGTGGGGCCGTCAGTCTACAGACACATAGTGGTCTTGGGAGGGACATATCGCTACTCACCCAGGGTCAGCTAGCGGCATATCGAAAGGTAAGGCATGTCGTCAGATTAAATGTTGGATCGGTGGTGTGATAACTATGGTTTAGGCCGGATATGCAAACAATCTTCTCTACATCGCGACTTTGGGGTTTGCGAAGTTGTCTATCATCTCGCTACTCATGATTCTCACGGCCTCAAAAACACACCGCAACCTCGGTCTATCGCTGGCTGGCTTCATTGCACTGTGGACGGTATTCTCAATGTGTCTGGCAGCTTTCCAGTGTGGAACCACTGAGCCATGGCGCTTCTTAGGGAACGAAGAAATATGCTTCAATATTGTATTTTCGAGGCTCGCTATTCTGTCATCCTATTGGTTCTGACAAGTCAATAGGTATCTTTTTGGCGTTCCGTGGGTGCAATCAATATCCTTACTGACCTGGCACTCATTGCGTTTCCGGTGCATGTCGTCATGACACTGCAAATGAGCCTGAGTAAGAAGATAACTATCCTCACCTTTTTTGGTGCACGGTCACTGTGTGTTTGATGAGTTTATTTTATAATAAAATTATTAGCTTACACATTCTAGAGACATCGTTGCGACTGCTGTCCAGATGGTCTACCTTGACGGCTTCACCTCGCCCAATCCCACCAAGGCACTATGGAAATGGACTCTCCTCGCTCAGGTTATTGAGTGCATCACTATCATTACATCATGCGTACCCTACATAAAACCCCTCCTTGAGTCGGTCCCATCAGGTTTATATGCGAGTGACGATCTACGCCGTCGAGGTACATCATCTGAGCATGGCGTCTCTCGCAGTAAAAATAGCTCCTATCAGCTATCTAGCATCGCCTCTAGAGTCGGTACCGGGATCACAAGATCAAGTGGAAAGAGCCTCCATACTGAAAACACTGGAATAAAACGCTTCTTGCCGATGCTCTCGCAAGAAAAGACTACGCATACAAACTCTGCTTCAGGGATACCCGGGGGTCCAAGGCGCTTAGACGGCGCGGCCGATGTTGAAATTACAGCCGTAAATCACAAGCATAGAGATGATAGGAGGTGGGAGACTGCAGGTACGGGAAGTCACTCTAAAATCTTGAAAACGACAGTTGTTAGTGCTGAGTGGGAAGAGGCAGAAGTCAAAGCGCACGATGGGTCGAGCGACGAGATTGAAGTTATGCACGGAGGCTAGCTTGAAGCATTAGGCATCATATTTCTTATTTCACCAATCTACAGAAATAACATGAGAAATTTGCAAAAGTCCAATAATTCCAGAACTATATAACGCATTTCCCTAATATCATCTGAAATAAGAAGACTCATAATCTCTATCATCGAAGCCAGACAACACCAACCGCTCAAATCCCAGGCATGTAGGCGTCATGCCCATAATCTCAACTTCCAATCGGTTGAATCGCTTCATCCATTCCACCACATGTTCCCTGTGAACCCATGACCCCTATTCTGATGGCAACGCTCAATCAGATCCCCGGCAGTCCCAGTGCAACACGACCTATCTCTCTTCTCTCCACCACCCTCATCAATCAAGCGTAACACCACCAGCCTACCTTCTCCAACTATCCTTCTCTCCCCCCTCTCCATACTCACCCAATGAAACCCAACACCCGCATCCCCATGCAACTATCCCAAACACCATCTAACCCACCTCCGCACTAACTCCCAGTCAACAAAATCCCTCCCCCGGTACTACAACCCTCACTCCCTTGTACAAAGGCAAAGAAAATCCTGCAAGCCCGAGTCCCACACTCACTGCGCACTCCAATGTAACGGCCGTGGCACACACGGCAGCACGTTGTCTGTTCTACGGCGCGTACACGCGGCACAAACCGGACGACTGCGTTTCACGCAGGTTCCCGTGTGTGAAAAGTAGTGGAACTTGTCGCTGCTAGCATAGGTGGGTTGATGCGGTTGACTCAGATGGGTAGGCGGGTGTGGTGGGTGAGACATTTGGTTTGGAGGAAAGGGAGGGAGTGTAAGACGGGTAGGAGGGCGGCGAATGAGGAGGGTGGATGTGGTGTTTGTGTTTGTGTGGAACTGGTGATGTGAGTTTTGATGGTGGGTTGGGCATGGTTTTTGTGTGCGAGGGGTTGTGTCAGGGAGGCTTTTCCACGTGGGGAATGGGGTGTTTATGGATGGGTGGGGAGTGGCGTTTTGGCAGGATCTGGGTTCCTTAGTGTTGAGCTATTGAGATGCTTGGTTGGAAATCTTGATTTCAGGCTTGTGCTACTGGGAGGCGTGTAGAGGGTTTCTTAGGGCTTGAATGATACTGGTATTACGGTTGAGTTTTTCTTATGCTACTAGTCGCTGTAACTAGTGAATGTATGTCTCTTAGCTTGAACAAACTAAGATGATGTATCATGGGTGAGGTTGCAGTTACATGTTGAGTAAGATATGTTTCTCACCTTGAAAGACATCATGTAGTATAGTAAGTAGTTCAAAAAAAATACACTAAGCGTACTTAGACCACCTCTCCACAGACATACCCCTGCACAGTCCGTAGTAGACCCCAACCTTAAGCCTCCGAAAAAACGACCAAACTACACATCATCCCCTTCCTTCCTCTCGGAGCAAAGAAAAAAACTCCTCGGCTCATTACTCAAATAGGAACTCCACAATGCACACCACCGAGTTCCGCATCCCCCCAGCACCAACCCCACCCACCATTCGTACTCCGCACATTTGTTGCCCCAACCAACCAATCACATCCCCTGCAGCCCCCTAGAAAGCGCCAGCAAGGGGTTGGTTTCCTGCAGTGTAATATGTCGAGTACCCGCCGTCACTGCAACCAGCCTCCGTACGGTACGGTATGGACGGAAGGCCATTACGTTTTTGCGCGGCTTTAACGCAAACACACTCATACGTAACTCCACTTTGCCTCTCTCTCTTCTTTTGCCCACTTTCGCTCGTATTCCCCTTTGCTACTAAAGGTGTTTTTTTTTGTTAAGCAAGTTAAGTAGTTTGCAGAGAGAGAGAGATTATTGGCAAGTACCGGTGATCGCCGGAGACCGACAGAATTGCGTGCGTGCGTGTATGAATGTATGTACATGGAACGTGTTTTTTTTCATTTCACAGGTTTCCGCGCTTTTCTTTTCAGCCGTTTAGCCCATTCCCCCGACACGCCGCTGCAACGAGTACATGGGCGCTGGCTACCGGTCCGGTGGCTGGTTTTGCTAGAAAGCGAGGACGTGGATTGAGATTGGGCTGCATTTGGGGGATATAGTTTGGCTTTGTGTGACGGATCCGTGCTTCCTTTTCTTTTAGGGCTAGTAAGGGCGGGTTCTTAGAGCGTGAGTATTGGCGGTCTTTTTGGGGGGGCAGTCTAGTTTCGGGTTGGGTGAGAGTGGGAGTTGAACTTCTATACTTTTCACTTGGGCTTGGTGTGCAGGTTTTAGTGGGGTTATACGGTACCTACGTACGGACTTTGCTTTGTCAACATCTTTTCTGGTCTATCTTTCGTCTGTCTCTTGTCGGATACTGTGGATCGTTTGACCTCGTCTATCGCGACTTCCTGACATCATGGAGAAGCGGATTCATCTCCAGAATATCGATGATGAAGGTGTGCTGCAGCCGAGAGAGAGACGCTTGGTGTCGGGATCCAAGGTCCAGCAGTTCGATCGCGATCGATATGAGCTGGCGAGAGTGGGAAAAGAGCAGGTGTTGAAGGTAACTGGCCTACCAAGCATTATGTGCAAATTCTGATCTAACTCATGACAGCGTCGATTTGGATTGGTATCAATGACTGGCCTCTCATGCGGCTTGATGTGCACTTGGGAGACGCTGCTAGTGTAAGTTTATGCGAAATTCAATACGAAAAGACATCTTTATGCTGATGTCAGCACTTGTAGTGTTTTCTCAATAGGTTTCAACAAGTAAGTAAGACACCTCGGTTACGCATTGCATGCTTGACGGCGAACTGATTGTTGTGGTTTAGCGGCGGACCTGCCGGTCTTATATACGGCTTCATCCTCATCTGGCTCGGTAACTTCTCCGTTTTTATCTGCATTGGGGAGCTGGCTAGTGCGGTACCGACGGCTGGAGGTCAATACCATTGGGTGTCGCTGCTGGCACCACGGTCGAGCAACAAGTTCTTCAGCTATGTGACAGGTAAGCTCGGTTCTGGGAACATTTCCAGCAAGCCTTTAACTCTTGTAGGCTGGCTCACGGTCATTGGATGGATTGCAGCTCTAACTTCCGTATGCTACTTTGTTGCCGACCTCATCCTACAACTCGTTAGTTTGAACGATGTCAACGGGACTTATGTGCGAGAAGGATGGCACGGCACGCTCCTCCTATGGGCTCTCCTGCTCCTCTGCGTCTTTATCAACGTATTCCTCAGCGGTGCACTACCCACTATCGAAGTTCTTGTGCTGATCGTCCACATTCTTGGTTTCTTTGGCATCCTCATTCCACTGGTTTACCTCACGCCAGCACACAACTCCGCCAAAGACATTTTTTCGAAATTCCACAATGAAGGCGCGTGGAGTACTCACACATTGGCGTTCTTCGTCGGTCTACAAGGTAATGCCTTGGCTTTTGTCGGAACAGACTCTGTCGTCCACGTAAGTAGAGAGAAACCCAACTTTCCAACTCTTTCCATGTTGATAACGACAAAAATAGATGTCAGAAGAAGTCAAAAACGCAAGCACAGAGGTTCCTCGCTCTATGCTCCTTAGTCTCGCCATCAACGGAACCCTAGCCCTAGGCATGCTCTTCGCTGTCCTCTTCAGCGCCGACAACATCCCGCGCCTACTCCAAGACCAAGACGCCCAGACCGCCCCCTTTCTCAGCATATTCCACCATGCTGTAGGCTCAAAAGCCGGCGCTACGGTCATGGTATCCATCATCGTGCTCCTAGAATTCTGCAGTGCAATGGGCTGTCTAGCCGCCGCATCACGCATGACCTGGTCTTTTGCACGCGACCGCGGCCTGCCTTTTTCGCGAGCCTTAAGCATGGTATGTTTCACTTTTCCCGTTATCCCCCTTCCCCCCCCCCCCCCCAAAAAAAAAGCAGCCTCCGTCCCCACATTAAGATCAGGAAAATGAGAAATTAGTATAAAACGTAAACTCACAAACAACACAGATCGACAAACGCAGCACCATCCCCGTCATCTCCATCCTCATCGTAACCCTCTTCGCCGCCCTCCTCGCCCTCATCAACATCGGCAGCAGCATCGCCTTCAACGGTACAATCTCTCTCGTCCTCGAAGGATTCTACCTCTCCTACCTCCTCGCCATCGCACTACTCCTCTGGCGGCGTCTCCGCGGCGATCTCGACGACGACGGCGGTCCCGATGCAGATACGCAAACACGTACAGAAGTGCACGAAAAGAGGCTATCCTGGGGCCCTTGGCACCTCCGTGGTGCTCTGGGAGTAGCAAATAATGTTGTGGCGATTGTGTATCTTTGCCTTATTATTTTCTTTAGCTTTTGGCCGACGAGGGCGAATCCGGATTTGCAGAGTATGAATTGGGCGGGCGTGGTGACGGGAGGTGTAGCGGCGTTTAGTGTGCTGTATTATGTGCTGCTTGCGAAGAAGTCATATACGGGGCCGGTGGTTGAGGTTGATCCGCGGGCGTTGTGAGGGGTGGGATGGTGGTGGTTGTGGTGGGTGTGGAGAGATTGATGTACTGTAAGGTTGGGTGTGGTTCATCACTATGACTGAGACAAAAAACGTTGGCTGAAAATGGAATAACTCATGCTTTTGGATATTTTCAAAAGGCGTGGTATGCTTTCTTTTATTGCAAAATGGGCAGGATAGATAAAGCGTTGTCTTCACTTGGTACGTTAGCAATGTCCAAAATGGCATGTGCATCTCACAACCTTCATAAGTGCTGCTTGCTTGGCTCTCGTGGGAAAATGCGTCTAGTAGGCCAATCATGTAAAAAAGTCATAATAATTGATCATCGATTTTCGTGATATTCATTAAAAGTACTCTTTACTCGTACACAAATTTCGTCTTTGCTCATCTCTGGATGTATCGGAGACGTTCGTTATGAGCATTACCTTTATCGTGTACGCCGTTCGGATCAACCGAGTAAGAAAAAAAGAAAACGCGTGGTATATACAAAAGAGACAGGAAAAGAATCTCTCAACATCTAGCCGTAGAATTACTCCAGAAAGTTCCAAAAGGGTCGTCCGAGATCGTTGGGGATATCATTAAAAAGGCGTGTCTCCAGCTCCAGGTTGGGAGGGAGAAAGCGAGTGTCAGATTACGCAGCTCAGGAAAGTGCGCCCATAGCAAGAGCCACAATCTTAGGGTTGGGCCGGTCCTTTCTGATGATAACTATAACCGTGGAAAAATACATATCAACGAAGTGGTTCTTTAATGGGCCGAGCGAACAAGGGCTAACCTACCCTTTCGGTCTCTGTCGACACGCATGACTTCCCTCTTGGGAGCGCGTTCAACAAATTCGTACTCGCGGTCGCCTTCGCGCTCATACTTGAGCATACGGCGTTCTTCCTCGAGCGAGCGGATTTCTTCACGAATCTCGCGCTCTGTTCGGCGATCGTCGCGGCGGACGATTTGGCGGCCTTCGGGGAGGAAGGCGGTGGCTGGACCGTGGATAGCAGCTGAGCGGTCGATCTCTACGTAACGCTCGTGCTCATGGATTGATGGAGATGGAGCACGTTCTGATGGTGCGTATACGGTTGGCGCATGGTGAGATGGGGGCGGCTGGGCGTAGATGACTTGTGGAGGAGGTTGGGCATACACAACCTGAGGAGGTGGAGGCGGTGCGTGTACGGATGGTGGTGGAGGAGGCACTTCAACCACAGGTGGTGGTGGTGGTGGCGGCGCAACGGATGCTGGCCGTGCAACTGATGGTGCGACTGATGCTGGTGGCGCAACAGATGCCGGTGGTGGTGGAGGTTCTTCCACGTTCTCCTCGTAGACATAGGTGATTTTTTCTGCGGATTGTTAGACGAGGCCTTAAGATGGGTATGCAATCCGCACCTTCTTTGTAAGATTCACTGGTCTTGATGATTTCGTCAATGTGCTCCTTTTCGAGTGCCCGGGTGACGATAATGAAATCGTCCTATGATAGTCAGCAGCAGTCCACATAGACAAATAAATGACATACCTCTTCTTCGTATGGATACCCGAGATCGATAACGGCTTGCTTCTTCACCAGACGCTTAGGGAGTCTTGTCTTGCCCTTCTTGCCCCAGGTTGCCCGGGAAGGCTGGATTTCTTCAAAGCTGGAAATTGAAGAGCTACGTGTTGATCTTGCGGCAGTGCTCTTGCTTCGTCGTACTCTGCTCTTTTCGCGGTGAACCTCGACTTCGCGATAATCCTCCCGTTCCCGGCCCCTTGAGCTGCGGTCGTCGTATCTGATTTCCTCAAAATCGTCCTCATCATGGAAGCGGTGGGGAGGTGACCTGCGACGCTCCCGGATGGGTAGTGGAATGGGAACGTTGGCTGGTGGGCGGTATTCGTGGGTCTCATATCTCTCGATCCTCTCGACATCGCCGTACCGAGGCATGGGTCGGCGATCGAAAGTGTCCAAGGACGATTGACGACGGATATACTGTGGGCGGGAGGGCTTAGGTGGGCGGGCAACATGGCGCCGTTCGTTGATATCAATATCAATGTCGATATCCCTATCAATGACCGACCTGCGGCGGTAGGGTGCAAGAGCCTGGTTGGCGATTTCGGACGGCGTGGGCTCATGGAACAAGTCGGCCGGGGCACGACGCGGCGGAGGGCGGTCGTAGCGCTCGTCTTCGTGGAAGCGCTCTCTTTCTATGACGGCCGGGCCACGGCGGGCGCGATCTTCGTGGATGTCGACGTCACGATGGCCTCCAGGGTAACGGTCGTGCTCTTGGTAGCGGTAGTGTTCGTAATCATCAGGGCGACCACGAACACTGCCGCCGCCTCGTCGCATACGCTCAAATCTGTCGCGGTCCCATCTCTCACCACCGCGAGGGGGCTCCTCAAAGCGATCCAAGTTGCCGGTCGAGGAGCGATATACAGACATGGTTGAGGGGAATTGCGTGGCTTGTTGGTCTGCGGGCGATGACGTGTGAGAGGGAATGGTGCGGGGCTACCGGCTTTAGATGTATGTGTGTCCCAGGTCAAGGGCTGGCTACACGTAACGAGAGTGTGTACTCGAGAGCCAAGTCAGCGACGCAAAGGATGAGAGGGAGAGAGAGAAGTGGATTAGCAGGATTATAAGGGAGTCAGGCCCCAGGTGGTGTGGAGAGTGAAGGGGAGGGTGTGGATACGGCCGGCTATGGATGCAGGATTCGCGACAGGCTTCGTCATCGGCGCCCGCGCATGGAGGCCTTTCTGCTGCGTTCTGGCCTGGTCGCTGGACCGTGCCATGGGTGGATGCCATGTCCCCTGAGGGCTGTTTAGTCTCTCATTTGTCACTGCGTTACTCGTCGTGCAGTTTCATGGGAGCTGCACAAGACTTGGGCGCTATCGTTGGGCATGTCGGCTGTGCTGCGGGCATGGCTGCATTGGCTGCCGCATCATGAGGTCAAACAGAGACAGGAACCGCGCCCTTTCACTCCAGAGGCATGGGTCGTGCCCAGGCTATCCTGACAGGCAGGCCGTGAATGCGCCCAGCATTGGATGGCAGCCATGTTGGCCGGATGAGCAGCGAGGTTGTGGGCTGCCAGTGACGTCATGCTGACCACCAACCTTGGAAGATTGGCCGGACATGCACGTGGGCCGCGGCGCAGTCATCCGCCTACTCAGTACTAGCCCCCCTCTCAGCCACAACCCCAAGGGAATATCTATCGTCGGCCCACGGCAGCCGCTGGACGGGGAACAACCATCTGTCAGAACCGTCTGTCAGAACTGCCTGTCGCCACTGCCCCGTCCCCACAGCTCACGCGCGGATACTACCGAACCCAACTACCATGGGCATCAACACATGCAGCATCCGGACAAACGTTGCTGTCCAAGACACATGCTCAGCACATGGAAACCCAGCCGAGTCTTGACCTGCCCCGTTTCACCATCAAGAGCCGTGTCTGCAATCTACTATGTCGTTTCATACACATGCAGTACTCGTACAAGTCGTCTGGCCGTTTTGTTCGTAATAGCATTGTCACCTGACTCATTTTGCCCCCACAGCCTCCTGTATCTTCTTCGTCACGTACTCGACATCAAGCGGCCGGCCCTTGACTGCTCCCATGACCTTGCCCATGACACTGCCAAAGTTCCTCTTGCCCTCTTCCAGCCCCTCCACCACGCTCTTCACCAGCGAGTCAACTTCGCTCTCGCCGACAGTGGGAATCTCGTCGGCATACGCCTTGAGAATGTCCAAGTTTTGCTGCTCCTTTTCGACCAGATCCTCCCGTTTGGCATTCCGGAATTCTTCAATGGATGCCGAGCTAGCTTTGATCTGCTTCTGGATCAATGAGTAGAGGGCGCCGTCCGTGGTGATGGGCTTGGCCGTCTTGGAGGCATTGATGATCTCGGCCTGCAGTCCACGGATCGTGTTCAATGCTGGCTTGTTCTTGGACCGCATGGCGATTTTGAGATCCGTCTGTAGGCGAGGGAGCACAATGTTCTCCGGAGTCGAAGTAGACGCATAGCGGATGCATGTAATGCGAGCAGGGGCAAAAAGCTGCCTCTGCAGCAGTGTAGCACGGAAGAGCGACATGGCCGGTGGATATAGTTTTGAGCAAGGCCAGTGACTGTATCAAACAGCGTCGTCGGCTGGACAATGCAATGGGCGACGGGGACCAAAAAAGTTTGGGGGGACAAAAAACGCGCTCAGACGCGAGCGACCCAACTAGTCCGACCACTGATCCTGGTCTTTTGCCAAGCACAACCTTTTGTTGTCGCTCGTCACTTTTGCAGCTTGTACCTGAGACCCAGCGTCGCGAACCGCTCCAATCCTCTTGCTTAATCTTCTTCTTTGCGCGTCTCCTTGCCATTTTATCCCCCCTCAGTAATAGCGCGCAGCTAATGTGCACGTCGTATTCCCGGCGCGTTCCCCCAACCTCCACCTGAAGCTCGCCCTTCCCCGAGCCGCGACCAGCGCAGCGCAGCCTTCTAACACGACACAAACACTGCCCATCATGGCTTTTCAAATGGCGCCCGCGACGCCGCAGCGACCTACTCCCGGCGCTTTTGTCAACACGCCGGCTCCAAACCGACCTGGCTTTGCACGGAGAGGCTCCATGTCGCAACCACAGTCGCAGCAACAGCAGCAACAGCAAGTGCTGCCTGCACCCCCTGCAGAGAGTCCCATCGATCGCGCATCACGGACTATAAACAGCATGCTGGATAGAGACAACAGATTCCCAGCCCTCGAGGCATACATCGGACGTGAGTAGCTGGCAGCAGCAGAATAGGCTAGTCGAAATGCTAATGAAACGGTCCAGAGGGCATCTCTGGTGAATATGAGATACCGAGTGGTCCGGCGTGGGCGCCCTTTCAAAAGCTGCGGTCGTACAAGCTCCCCGAGGCCGTCTTCGAGCAGGTGGACCACACGCAAATGTCGACGAGCATGGGCCTGTTCGCCGAGATTAACCACGCCTGGGTTGTAGTTGACAACCAGGTCTATCTTTGGGACTATACGCACCCGAACCCCGAGCTCGTTGGTTTTGAAGAGCAACCCAGCAACATTACCTGTGTGAAGCTGGTCAAGCCGCGTGCCGGTGTCTTCGTGCCCTCCATCGAATACCTCCTTGTCGTCGCAACCGTGTCGGACATTTTTCTGATTGCTGTAGAGTGTCAACGAGGGTCCGAGGGAGTGCATGGCATCACAATGTACCGGACAGGATTGTCCACGTCAGTCAGGAAGATCAATGTGACTGCAATCGCTGGCTCAGACACGACAGGGCGCATCTTCTTTGGTGATGGACAGACAGAGGACGTATACGAGCTCAACTACCAACAAGAGGACAAGTGGTTCTCCAGCAAATGCAGCAAGACCAACCATGTTACCACTTCTATCGGCCTACCCGCGCTACCATTCTATGGGACCACACGACAAGCTGGTATCCAGCAGATGGCCATTGACGACACACGGAACGTTCTCTACACGCTCTCCACCAATGGAACCATCAAGGTCTACTACATGCGCGCGCCAAATGTTTTGGAGAGCGCATTGACTCGAACACGCACACAGATTGAGACCATGTGTGGGCACATTGTACGACCGACGGGCGTGCTCGACAAGATGCAGATTGTCAGTCTGAGTCCCATTTCTAGCACAGAGGCGGACAATCTCTCTCTAATGGCAATCACATCGTCAGGCTGCAGATTGTATCTGAGCACAACGTCCGGAGGACAATGGAGCGCAAACAACACAAGTGCGCCAAGCAGCATGCAATTACGACACATTCGATTCCCGCCAAACGACGGTCAGCCCTCGCCCCAGAGTAATTCGACCCAAGTACAGCCATACCAAGGAGGCACAACAGTCGGTTTTGAATCAAGGTGGCTGAGAGAAACTAAACTTGGAATTAGATATCCCCCTGGTGCCTTCTTCTCTTTTGTCCTTAGGTCGCCAAACGACCCGAACCATCACATGTTTGTTTCCGCGCCTCACTCCGGACTATTGGGTCAAAGGGAAAGCTCAGAACCTCCGCGATACACCGAAACTGGCCTGTTCACAGAACTCGTAGGAAGAGTACAAGACATCGGCCTTGTTTCTGAACCATTCTCCGCAAGGAATGAACCTCTCGGCTTTGGCAACGAGCTCGCTACCCAGTTTGACAAGCCGCTGTGCGAATACGCCATCATTACATCGAATGGTATCGAGACTGTTCGACGCAGAAGACTGGTGGATATTTTTGCTTCCATTGTAAAGAACGGAGGTCCCGAGGGCGCCGAAGCTGATATTCGTAAGCTCGCAAAGCAATATGGTCTGGCCGAAACTTCAGCTACAGCTTTGGCTGTTGCTTGCGGTCAAGGGTCAGATGTTGGACCAGATTCAAGAATCGCCAAAGTCACAGATCCTGAAGTGCTTGATTTTGCTCGCAGGGTGTTTATTGAGTTTGGCGGCAAGGCGCATCTCACAGAGAGTGCGACTGTAGAAGGTTTGAGCGTAGAGAACGTCCGCGCGTCACCACGACACGATGGTATTGCCATGTACGTTGCGCGCATTGTTCGATCGATCTGGAACACTCCCATTATCACGGAGACCGCCACTCCAACTGGACCGGCTCTTACCTCGACTCACAAGATCACCAAGTTGCAGGAGGTACAGCGTTGTTTGGCCCAACTTCAGGAATTCCTGGAATCGAACAAGTCCTTCATCGAAGGATTGGCTGGCCCAGAGGCTTTGGGACGTGCGACATCGCGACAAGAAGAGGTCGAGCTCCAGGGCGAGAACAGAGCGCTCACTAGCCTGTTACAAATGGTTAACAATATCGTTGAGGGCATTTCTTTTGTTCTCGTGCTCTTTGAGGAGCGTTTGGAGGATATTCTGGCTCTGCTAGCAGACCCCCAGCTCCAGGCAAGAGTTCGTCAACTCACTTTTCAGGGTCTCTTCTCCATCAAAGAGGGCAGGGAAATCGCGAGGGAGTTGGTTAAGGCTATTGTGAACCGCAACATTGCTAAGGGTTCAAATGTTGAGTCGGTTGCTGAGGCTCTTAGGAGGAAGTGTGGCAGCTTCTGTAGTTCGGATGATGTGGTCATCTTCAAGGCTCAGGAAAGCTTGAAGAAGGCGGCTGACATGGGTGCAAATGCCGAGCGTGGACGTATCTTGCTCAATGATAGCTTGAGATTGTTCGAACAAGTGGCGAAGAGCCTGAGTTACGAGAATCTGGCCGCCACTGTTGATCAGTACATCCAACTCGAGTTCTATGCTGGTAAGCTGACTACACTTATATGTTTTTGAATGGTTCTAACATACACGATTTAGGTGCTATCAGACTTGCCCTCAAAGTTGCTCAAGAGTGGGACCGAGGTAACAAAGCCTTATCTTGGGTGCGGGACTCTCGTGATCACGTCGGTGATGCGAGCGACCCACGACGTCACTTTTATGAACAGCGCGCTTCTTGTTACACCCTCGTTTGCAATGTGATCGAGGCTGTCGACCATGCCTTCAACACCCAAGGGCCTGTGCCTGATGGTGTTATTTCCCAGGTCACTCGTCGCAAACATGAAGCGTACGAGCAAATCAACAACTCGGATGATGAAGTCTTCCAAAACTATCTGTACGACTGGTACATGCAAAACGGATGGGCCGAGCGATTGCTGGAGATCAACTCTCCGTTCGTAGTCGACTATCTGCGCCAGAGCTCTGACACGAACCTGGCTCACGCGGATCTGCTGTGGCGCTACTACGCTCATTACAACGACTACCTAAGTGCGGCGGAGACACAGTTCCAGCTTGCGAAGAGCACCCTACCCTTGACGCTAGAAAAGAGGATAGAGTATCTGTCACGGGCCAAGGCAAATGCTTCGACGCGTATGACTGGGTTTTCGGAAACAGGAGTACGCAACCGCCAGACCAGGCAAGAACTGCTGCGAAACATCAGTGATCATCTTGACATTGCCAACATCCAAGACGATGTGCTGCAGCGTATCAAGGGCGACGAGCGACTTGTTGGAAAGCGGAGGGAAGACGTTATTGAGCATCTCAATGGCCAAATCCATCCTCTTGATGAGGTAAGTTTCTTTTGGTATGTGAAAGACGCGTTTGCTGACATTACCTAGCTCTACCATGATTACGCCGACCAAGCAGGTTACTACGATATCTGCCTCCTCATTTACCATGCTGCCGATTACCGTAGCGTACCGGACATTCGCTCAACGTGGACCAACCTGATTGATCAAACCCACCGGAACGCTGTTGCCGACCGCCAGGCCGCGCCTTGGGAGATTGTCTCATTGAAAGTCCAGGATCTTGGCCACCGCACTAACCTCAACGACAACGTGTTCCCTGTGAATATTGTCTTGCAGCTAGTCCTGCAGTATGACTTGGAGTTCTACGTCCATGATGCCAACGCGCCTAACGCTCAGAACTTGGCACTGAATTCTAACCTTACGTGGCCAATTGACGTTTTCCTCAAGCTGAACGCGCCGTTTGAGAGCTTGGTTGCTACTCTTGAGGCACTATGGTATGCGCAGGAACCGCCATTCGCAGGCCGTAACCGCAAGTTGCTCGTCAAGTGGATCATTTACCTTGTCGAACAGTGGGCTACCGTCAGCAGGCGAACAGGCGCGCTATTCGGTGGACCTGAGAACGCAATTGGATTGGCTGATGTTATGCGCATCATCCTGGGAAGCGATGTTCTTGGACGAGATATGGATGATCAGTCATGGATTCAGAGGGCGCGCGATGTCAACGCTATTGTCGAGGAAGCTGCTCGCTAAATGCATATATGGTAGAGGGAATACAGTTGGAAGGTTGCAAAGATATACGGGAACGATGATTGTATATTTGGTTTTTTTTTTGTGCGTTACCATTCTTGCAGCGCCAGGCGTTGAATAGGTGTATCATCAGTATAGGGAGGGGACACTGGCGTCAAAAGCATGAGTGTGGTCACAGCCAGATTTTTCTCAGAGCATAAAGAAGAGACCGGCAGAAGCACAATCCAAGCTAACTCATTTTTGTCTGAATCAAAGATGTCGTAGTTGGAAGGAATCGTGGTTTAAAGTCATGAATGCTAGTTATGAAGAATGTGAGCGCATCGGACATAAGTAGCTTGCTCCACCCTAATCCCCGCCAAAGCCACTTTCCCCAAACATCATCACCGTTCCCCTGCAATCTACAACAACAACAACAACACTCGTTACAAACAGCTCTCCTCGGCTCTAGCCTCACCCACACATACAATGTGAACCCCGCATCCATCCCTCTCGAACACATTACCGCAAACCAAACCCCCACCTTCCCGCAAGTCTCTCCGGAAAAAACAATGCCCATTTGCATATCCTGTCGCACCCCCGTCCGCACGCTCTACACGACCTACTCCAAAGCCGACGACCGGGCCCTCGGAAAGGGCGTCCGCCTAACACAATGCCCGCACTGCAAGAAATTCGCCGACAAATACGTCGAGCACGACTTTGTCGTCTTATTTATCGATCTCGTGCTCATCAAGGCGGAGGTGTACCGGCATTTACTGTTTAATCGGTTGGAGAGGGGGGATGATAGATTTGATGTAATTTCCCCCCCATCCTTATTAGACATATGTTCATGGGCGTATATATATATATACGCATACGATATTGGAGGAAGTAGGACTTGTTGATATGAGAGAGAGGTGTGTGTGTGTATGTGCTAATGTAGAGGGCAAATAGCGTTCCATCCTGCGCCTCGGCATTCTCCTCCTCCTCTTCGACGTATACCTAACATGGGCGCGCATCGAGAAAATCCCGCTTCCATCCCATTCACCCCTCTTCTCCCCTTTTACAGCACCCCCGAATGCGTCGGCGCTGGCGTCTTCGCATGGCGCCGTGACGAATGCAATGGTGCTCCAGGCGTATCCGCTCGGCCTCCAGTATCTGTTTTTCCTCGGCCTGGTCACGCTTTCGACGCTGGCATTTCACTTGCCGATTCGCCTGCTGTGCGCGTATAATCCTGCTGGTTTGCCTGGTGTGCTGAGGAGGCTGTGGCAGAAGTGTATTGCCTACTTTCCGAACCCAACGCCGCTGTCGACAGCGCTGCTGGTGTCGTCTTGTACGAAGCTTTTTCCTATACTGCTTATTGTGTGGGAGTATGATTTGCCTAGTTCGGCGACGGCGGTGAGTTGGGCGGTCATCGTGAATAATATTGCGGCGCTGGAGATCTTGATGGACTGTGGGTATTTTAGAGCAGGGATACTGGTGGGTGTCGGGGCAGGTATGAGGATGCTTGTGGGATGGTCAATACTGCGGGCGGCTGGGTTGGGGACAGGATGGGAAGGATATTTGAGTGAATGGGCAGTAGCCAGCACGCTATGGGCTTGGGCCAGCAATGCGATTAGTTGGTCTTGACAAAAGGACACGAGCTGGAAATGCATTTGTTGGCGGATTTTCAAGCAATGATATGATACCCCATTTGATATTCGTACACGCCTAAAAGCAGAAAGAAGAAGTATTCAGTAATGCGCCAAACCAAATGTGCCAATGCGCGCGAGATTCCCACATGTTCAGCATGAACCGTATATGTCGAGCTCCTTTCGGCACAATTTCTCAGCATAAAGCTCGTTCTTGTACAACACAACCTCTCAGCATACGTTGATACTTCTTGTTGGCCGCTCCAGCTTTATCTTGAGCCAGGGTGCTCCACCATACGTACGAGTGCACACATATTACCCTTTAGCGTCCCCCGTTTAACTCCGGTCGCAGGTCGTTTCGTACGGGCGAAATGAGTGGATGAAGCTGCGCAAGGAAAGTAATAGCCCACATGATGTACATGGCAGCCGCAGAAAGCACAAGAGTAGATCGCCAAACCCTGTTCGCAGCCAAGTTAGCCAAAAGTATCCTTTTCCCCATCTTTGCCTCCGCCCCCGGCCCCGCCACCGGATGCTCCTGTTTGCTGTACTAGCTTTCTCGCTCTCAAGTCGTCTTCTCATCAGCAGTAGCAGCAGTATACGCGGCGCACGTCTCGCCGTCATATGCAAAGTGTACGCGCTTCGTCCCCGGTGTGCTGCCGCGCAGCTTCCTCTCATTTTCGTTTTGGTCGTCGACGGCAGCAGCAGCACCGAGATGCTGCGACGAGACTTTGGTGCGCAGACAGGGCTTGGATGGCGTCGAGGCCGTCTTTGACGAGGGGATGGTGCGGTAAACGTACGTCTGGTTTTCGCCCTTTGGCGCTAGAACCCAGGCTGCGGCGCAGAAGATGACGACAACGATGAGGCCGATAATGGGGGCCCAGCTGCTTGTATTAGTTTTATTTCTCCTGGTCTTGCTTCAATAGGATGGGTCTGGATGGGTGGTATATACCCGTTCGCCATTGTTGGATGTGTTTGGTTGCGGTTTGGTTGGGGATGCGCGTGGGTTGCCTGTTCCTTGTAGGGAGGCGACGCGATGGATTATCGACGCGAAATGGTATGGGTTTAGTTCGTTGGAGGGCTGCGTGCGACGACGAGCTGGCGACGGGGTTGATGGCGTGGAGTTGTACGTGAGCTTGGGAGCTACATAGTACTATGACGAGGCCTACCTTCAAGCATCAGAGTGCTTGGCGCACTAGCCTTATCCGTGCATGTGCATGTAGTTGTGGTGGTGGTTGTATTCTGTCTTGGTCACTTGCTAAACGCACAATTTTAGTTATGTTCACATTCCATTACTCAATATCGGAACCATACGGGCGTTTGTTAGGCATTTTGGTCGTCTAAGAGATAGGCAACGTCCGGTCCTTTTGGCACCATTGGGTGTTCATCGGAAGCACTGTGGTTAGCCAAGAGTCCCATTGCTTCATTCTACGCTTAGAGTAAGGCCCGGGACACCATTATTGCGGAGATATCTTCTGTAGATCATGTAACCGTCTATTGTAGATCAATTTTGGTTCACACCGGAAACTTGCACTTACGACATCCCTCGCAGATCGCCAGAAATTCTTCTCCAATCATGATTGAGCTGCTGAGATTTGCTTCAGTTTGACATGCCCTGGGTGTAGATAAGGCAATCTCATTTCAACATGGCATACGTTCTTTCATCCTGTTTCTTTGGTTGCCCCAGATTCGGTCCTCCGCCCACATAGGGCAGAGATCGAACTGATCTTCCGGTGTCGCCTCATTTCGCTTACGTAGTAGCGCTTCTGTGCCTTGCATGACCATGTGTATTGTACATACACCAATGTATCATCAGCCACGTATGTCAGTGGGTCTCAACTTTTAGTTATTTCTTTGCCTCTCAACTCCATCTGCTCTCTATATTCGTATGTTTTATTATTCCTTAGCCCTCGCTCCGCCGACCAGCTTATCTTCAGAGATGACACAACAAGGCGGTGTAGCAGCTGCAGATGCACGCAACCTGCAGAATTCACACCTAAGACATGTGCTACATACTGCATTATTATCCGACTCCTTCAGATCCTCCAAAGGGCGTAAGTTTCAACTTCTGGACAATGGTACAAGTTATCGGGAATTGCCCAGTAGGTAAGAATGCCGGCCGGACTATTTCGTCTGACACGACATCTCACAGAACTTGTGGAGAAGGTCAACAGCTAATAAACCACCGTGTTGGCAACTGAAGCTCCAGACCTTTTGGCTTGCCTTAGTGGAAACTTAGACTGAGCCACATCGTGCATAACAGCTGGCGATCGTAACCTTTTCCCTTGATCTTAGAGCCATCCAATGAATTCCCCGGGCAAAATTACAGCGCGGTTGGTTGCAGGGATCGAGGATTTCCTGTCTGGCAGAAGGATCAAGCAGCCATATCGTGTTTGAAACTGGATGGTGCTACAACATCGCTTACTAGACATAATTACTACCAACACTCTCACTCGGAGCTTATAAGTGTTAACGTATTCCAACTTGGGCAATTTTCTCACGTATGAGCTTCCTTTACAGCCGGTCAGTCCCCCGAATGTCGGGTATGCTGCATCTAGGAAGTCCGGGATACTTTACACTGCATAAATGCTCTATTCAGTAACCTGTACGTCAACTTGGCAACAGTGCTCACCCTTGGCGGTAACACGTATGCTACCCGAAAATTTCAGCTTCTGCAGAATGAAGCGAATCTGCAGCTTTGTTTTGACGTTCTTAGTTCTTGTGTGACCGGAATAAATCTGTGGTTACCCCAACATGGCGAAGTGATCAGCGAGCGCTCACAATACTGATCTACCTACAGTACGGCCATCTCAACACAGATCTGGAAATTGCTGACAAGGAATTGTCTTGTAAAACGCTTCTGATTATGGCCATAATGCCAAAGGAAGGCTACCATTGTTTCAGAATACGTGGGGCTTACTGACGTGTCCTGATAATTCCTCGGAAGCACATACTGTAGTAGGGTGCAGCCCACTTACCAGCTCACCGGGTTATTTCCCCTCACCGTGTACATGTAATCGTCATAGGACAGTTAGGGCTATCTAGCCCGTTCGGCACTGGGTTATTGTCCTCGTTGAGGCATAGCCTACGTAAGACCAACCATAACGCGAGTTCCCAATATTTAATTGGGAACTGTAGGCCACGTCCTCTGCGGTGTCAAATCTCCACTTCGTGCTTACAAACATTGAAATACCAAGTCGAACAGTCTACGCCTTTCTTCTCGTCACCACTCTCCAAATTAAGGGTTGTCGAATCCATTCTCGATTTCATGGATGAAGACATAGTTCTCATTGAGAGTGGTCCGTCAATGAGTTTAATTTCGTCAATTATCAAGGGCAATCCGACTGATCCGCAGGGTCCCGAAGCAAAGCCTCGCCGAGAGCCTGCGTGGGATCCTCGTTCTCCCGCCGCCAGATCGACCTGCTTCGACAACTGTGGACATGAGAATTGCGAGCCACCTCGCAGAGCTCCGAGTCCAGCATCAACAGACAGTTCCATGAGGGTACACCCTTCAGGCATGAAAGGCGGGTGGCATAGCTCAGAAGTGAAGCGGGATGATCAATTTGTAGACCACTGGGTGAAAAAAGCAAACAAAGAGCTAGCCGGTACCGATCCAAACCCAGAGCCTCCCCTCACAAAAGAACACAATGATACCGAGCAAAACGGTTTGGGGCGTACAGCGAGCCGCAGGATACCAGAACGTGGTGGGAAACGTATAAGCCCAGTTCAATACCAGGCTATACAGCCGCCGCCGCCTCCTCCTCCGCCTGTAAGTTGACCATGTTCTTTGATGAATCACATGAATCTAGCTAAATACATAATAGTCAGCACCGCCTAGTAGCATGCAGCCTATGACCTTTCATACCTCTTTCAATCCATACTCCCAACCACCAGTATGTTCTTGTATTGCTTTTGCCATTTCCATTTTTTAACCACTTGAAGCCTCCCCCTCCGCCTCCACCACCTCCTCCTCCTCCTCCACCGCCGCCACCACCGCCACCACCTCCAGCATCATTCGACCACCTCCCATTCATCCCAGAATGGGAAGTCAACACAGCCCACCAGTTCATCCCCGCACGCTCCCTCGGCGTCCCAACCAATGACATCTCGAGCCACATAGTCCGCATTGTGCCCTTCCGACGCAACGTCTTCCTGATGCGTCACCAAGCCTACGGGGCCGACTACCAAGAATACGAGTGGCTCTTCCGCCACGCCGACACGGGCATCTGGTACGAGAAGGCCAGCAAGTCGTCTTCGGCCAAGCTCGCCAAGTGCGACACGGAGCCCTTTTCGACCGCCCAGGACAAGGTGCTCGCGGTGCCGCACGCAAAGCCCCTCAGTCTTGAACTACCCAAGGTATGGGCCTCTGCTGGTCTTACCACGCTACTCGACGACGTCAGTCGTGGCACCGACGCCGCTAGCTCCAGCGGGTCGCAGTACCAAAGCACCAGTCTCGCGCAGTCCGAAGCCATGCCGCTTGTGTACTGCCTCGTCATCAGCACCTTTGACGCCGACCACACCTTTCCGCAAGAAGCGCATTACAAGGGCCGTCACATCTACAAGCTGATCAAGTGCGGGAGCCGCGAAGCGGCGGTGCTTGAGGCGTTTTATGCCGCCGGCGTGCATGGCTGGAATGTCCTTTTCACGTGCGTGATGCGGCTTGGAGACGAGTTTGAGGAGAAGCCGGGGAAGGCGATGAAGGTGAGGTTGGCGCAGTTGGCGAGGGAGGAGGCGGAGGCGGAGAAGGAGGGGGTTAGGGTGTTCTATTAAGAAGGTAAGGACAAAAAGAAAGAAAGAAAGAATAATTACAAAAATATGGGGTCTTGGGGGGGGGGGCGAGGGCTAGGGTAGTGCCTGATATGGGTGTTTCTCCTTCTTTTACGAATTTCTTTTCTGGGTTCTGGATTACGTCTTACCGTTTTGTATCTTTTGTTGTTGAAACGGCGTTTCGTGTGTCATGGCGTTTTGGGTTTGGGTCATACGTTGCGAGGTTCTCGTATTGGTATTAGTGTTGAAGATGACATTGTGCTCTCTGGAATGCTTGTGTGGAACACGACGTAAAGGCAATGTCAGATTGTAAAATGTACCGAAATGACGTTACTTTCTTGAGCGGTGATTTGTTGTGTTCAATTTTCTTTTCTGTATTAGGTGTTGCCATTTCACCCACGTGCAAGTCACTAGGCTTGACGCATGTAGTGATTTCCTAGCCTCAGTACCGAGTTATTCCAATACCTCTTACAAGACAAGATAAGTAACTCAAAGCTTAAACATACTCGTAAGTACCCCGCCGTATGCTTCGTACTATGCATACGCAGCTTTGACACGATATATGACTGTAAAGCTCACAGTTTCTTCTTAGTCACAGGTTCCAATCCCTTGTGCTGTCTCGCAATCATCTGATCCAACCTCGCATAGCAATCCAGCGTCATAAAGATACCTAAATCTCGTCAGCATCACCATGTTCAATACCCCTATCAGGCGTTTCAGACTTACCAGCAACCAAGTAACCACCATACATACCGCCCAACCCCTGCAGTCCCCTCTGCGCAGGAGTCAACTCGTCCCAAGTCAGCATCTCGGAAACGCACGCCAGCGTCGTTATGCTCGCTTCGAGGCCAAAAACCAGCAGCACCAGAGGTACACGCGGGTCGTTGCGCAGCAAAGCGGGGATAGCCCAGAGGGTGACGGGGACATGGTAGATTAGTTCGAGGAAAGTGAAGGCGGAGAACCAGGCTGGGGTGGCGTAGAAGAAGCGATCACCGTAAGTGGCGACGTACCATTCGCGGACAGTCGTCATCCACGTGGGCTTGATGGAGAGGGGGTAGTAGCCTGTCAGGTCGAATGCTGGGTTAGGGTTAGCGGGGTGACCGCCGAGGGATGATTTGCAAGGAGGTGCATAACGATGATGATTGTGGATGATTTCCTCGGAACAGTGGGGGTGTGGTGGCCTTTGGCTTGGGACTGTTTGCGGTTGTGCAACGTGGGAGGTCTATGCTGGCATGTCTTGATGGCAGGGCTGAACCAACCATGCGGTGTGTAGTCCTCGGATGTTTGATGTTTGAAAATGGTGAGACGACAAAGTGCTTTTTTTCTACTAGCGTCACGGGGTAATGCTGGTAGGAGATGCCATGGGCATCTGAAGAGAGATGAGATGAATCATAACTTACCTAGCATGACGGGCAGATGTATGACGAAAAAGACCAGGTACCCAAGGTCCTTCTTCCTTTGGAATATAGAAACAGCCATGATTGTTCGAGATGCGGGTACTCTGGGTGGATACTCGGTGCTGGTGTGGGTGCTAGTATTGCTTGGTGTAAGGTGTGGAAGGTGTGGAAGGTACGACGTGTCAGGAAGGAGAAACGCGTGGGGCGCGCAAGGGTCCGCCGACATAGTCTTTTCCCCGTGGGCCCCCATTTCTCCATCACCCACCCACGTTGCTGTGCATCAATTATATTAAAATCACTTCTGGCGTAAGCGGAGCATTCCCTGGGGATTTCGGTTTCTTCTGCTGCAATTTCCAACGCCGTATCGCTGACTCGGAAGTGCGCCTGCACAATTTCAAATGGCCTTGCCTTGTTCACGACACTAGGAGACGGATGGGTCGTATTGCTCCACGGAAGTGCAGACGAGCAAAAGGCCAGAAGCACGTTTGCATGTCGCCTCGGAGGCGCGATGGGTGTGTGGCAAGTATTGTTGGGTCTGGCTGTTGCTCACATGAACATGTCCCTTTAGCCACTGCGAGGCGTTGGGCGTCCCGCGTCCACCAACAGGCCAGAGGCCGGCAAGGCCATGATTGGAACGCATGGCGTGCGCCTGCCAGGAAGCGGGCCGTGGATTGGATCTGCCATCAGGACCGTTGCACGCCGCCCTCAAAGCTTATTCTGCTCGGCTCAGGCTGGTCGGACTGGCAGCCATTTAGCCTAATTTGCGCCTGGAAGAGGCACTGGCGCTGATCCGAGCGTACGACTCCGACACAGGCGGACGGGCATTGCGGGGACCGCGGAGGATTACACTGGCGCTAGTGTCCAATTGTCGGCCTTGCTGCCCTCGTCTGACTGCTGGCAAAGCTGCAGCCGAAGAGGCGTTTAGCCTTGGTATGCTTAAAGGGCTAAAGACCATCTACCGGTCATGGCCTCCCGCCGATCTGGGAATAATTGTGGCACCAATATGCTCCATCCTGCAAGCATCCTATCACCGGGATGCTGGATGATATGTGAGGTGGGCAGGCCACCTTCTCCGCATCCTACATAAGATGGCGCCTGCACCGCATGTTGGCAAGATTTCCGATAACCTGGGGTAATCTCAGCCATCCTCTCCTCAGCCCTCTTCCAAACACCACCTGCATTTCCACTACCAACTGTCGCCATGGCTGGTGGAGGTGCTCCTACAGCCGGCTTCGATGTCGCGCTGCAAAGGCGTCAAGCCCTCATGGGCAAGAGTGGCCCGGCCGCCCTTGTGAAGAATGGAAAGGTCTTCCTGATTGCCATGTTTGCCTGTCTTGGTGGTGTGCTTTACGGATACAACCAGGGCATGTTCAGTGGCATCTTGCAAATGCCTTCGTTTGAAAAGCGTATGCAATTACTTGCCACTTGATTCTATCTGCTCTCCCACTGACACACACAACAGAAACCGACGGCTATACCGCCAACGCCACCAAAAAGGGTTGGCTGACTGCCATCTTGGAACTCGGTGCTTGGTTTGGTGCCATCATGTCCGGATTCATCGCCGAGGCTGCCTCGCGAAAGTACGGCATCTTGATCTCCACTGTGGTATTCATTATCGGTGTTATCATTCAGATTACTGCCATCGCTGGCGGACACCAAGAAATCCTCGCTGGTCGCTTCATCACGTCAGTCTGCACAAACCCTACAACTTTGAACATTGGCATTGACAAATCACAGTGGTATGGGTGTCGGTGCTCTTTCTACCATTGTTCCCATGTACAACAGTGAATGCGCGCCTCCGTAAGTACACTTCACCCAAGCCATAAAAACAGCATACTTACTTGGGACAGTGAGGTCCGTGGTGCTCTCGTCGCGCTCCAGCAACTTGCCATCACATTCGGTATCATGGTCAGTTTCTGGATCAACTACGGAACAAACTACATTGGCGGCACGACTCTTCAGACCCAGTCAAACGCAGCATGGCTCGTCCCTATCAGCCTCCAACTCGTCCCAGCCATGGTTCTCCTCGTCGGAATGATCTGGATGCCTTTCTCCCCACGTTGGTTGATGCACCACGACCGCGAAGAAGAGGCCCGCAACAACCTCGCTTCTCTCCGCAACCTGCCTATTGACCACGAACTCATTGAGCTCGAATTCCTCGAAATCAAGGCACAGTCTCTGTTTGAGAAGCGCACGGTTGCCGAGTCTTTCCCTCACCTCCAGGAGCAGACTACCCTGAACATCTTCAAGCTCCAGTTCGTGGCCATTGCCTCGCTGTTCAAGACCAAGGCCATGTTCAAGCGAGTCGTCGTTGCCACTGTCACTATGTTCTTCCAGCAGTGGACTGGTATCAACGCTGTACGTATTGATTCTATGGAATCTATCTGTGCGACTTTGGCTAATTTCGATTCGATAATAGATTCTCTACTATGCTCCCGTCATTTTCCAGCAGATTGGATTGGTAGGCAACACTACATCCCTCCTCGCTACCGGTGTGGTTGGAATTGTCATGTTCATTGCTAGTAAGTTTTCTGTTCAATCACACAGGAAAATCACAACACTAACACAATTAAAGCAATCCCGGCTGTCTTGTACATTGATCAACTTGGTCGCAAGCCCGTTCTCTCTATCGGTGCTCTCGGTATGGCATTTTCCCATTTTGTCATTGCCGTCATTCTCGCCAAGAACATCAACGATTTCGAGAACCACAGGGCTGCCGGATGGGCTGCTGTCGTCATGGTCTGGCTGTTTGTCATTCACTTCGGATACTCCTGGGGTCCCTGTGCATGGATTCTGATTGCCGGTAAGTCATCTTGCCTCTGAAGCTATTTTGCACACCAAAACTAATTTGTATCTCCAGAAATCTGGCCTCTGTCCACTCGTCCATATGGTACCGCTCTCGGTGGCTCCTCCAACTGGATGAACAACTTCATCATTGGTCAAATCACTCCCGATCTCCTCAAGAGCATCACATACGGAACTTATATCCTATTCGGCCTCGTTACCACGCTCGGATCAGCTTTTATCTGGTTCCTCGTCCCCGAGACCAAGCGTCTCACACTCGAGGAGATGGACACCATTTTCGGCAGCGAGGGAACTGCACTCAAGGATCAGGAACGCATGGCCGAAATTAACCGCGAGCTCGGTCTCACTGCTTTGTCTGGAGACGGCTCCTCGGGCGTCGAGCACGAGACAAAGATTGTCAGCACCGAGAAGGAAGCCGTATAAATGCTAGTATGATGGCATCGGACTGGTATCCCACTCGCTGAAATGAAAAATCCTCAACGATAACGAACAAGGTTGTTTCTGGGTTGGGGTGGGCATGAGAAATGGATATATCATCATGTCTTTTTCTATTAGGAAATCTGGGGGGGTTTTTCCCCCAACTATCAATCTTTTTAATCACTATGCCATGAACCACCATCACCACCACCTTCTTCTTCTTCTTCTTGCTCTATATGACTTGGGGAAAAACGGGGACATGGCTAGTATACGTAATCAAATTAAACACATTCATCATCACTTATACATCTCTCCACTCCAAAATAGCCCCCCCACCCAAAACAAAAAAATAACACGGCACAAGAAACAATACAGCCCTACCTATACGAGTCGGAAATGCAAACGTTTATCGCATAATTTTTTTTTCGGGATATCTCTTTTTCAAGCATTTTCCTTGCACCCGTCTCCCCCCTTTTTTTTGGTAATCTTCTTTTTTTTCAAACCAAGACGAAAAGTCGCATATATATTTGTTGGGGGGGCTCTTAGGATTAAAGTTCTTCCTCCAATCAACATGGGAAGTGCGCGGCGGGATGGCGAATCGGGCCGATGTTGAAGGGGGAGGGGGGTTTTCCGTGTATTGTTGTAGTAGCGTAGTCAAGGCACCGCCGCGGATAAGAAAAATGACATGGGTTTTGTGTAGTGGACTCGAAAATGGGATGGGGACTTTGTTATAGTCGGTAGGAGCGCTGTTTGCTGACGCCTTTCTTGGTTTTTTTTTTTGAATTGCTTTGGAGTTGACGTTAATGTATTGTGAAGCCGATGCGTGGAGAAAAAAATGATGGTAGTGATTATGATATTGTGGTGGTGTTGTACAACTCTAAAGCTAATTGATGATTAAGAGCACTGTTTCTTATTTGGTTTCTGCCGGTTGAGCGTTATGTTGAGGTTTTTCCTCGCCTCAATAGTAGTAAGATGGTCATCGCCTAAGACCTGCCTACACTTCTCTTGCACTTTTATCTGCATCTCCACCGCCTTGTCTAGGTATCCTTGATCGCTAAGCGTAGCAGCAAGGTTATGTGCTGCTCTAATTGTGCAAGGGTGGTTTTCACCCCATTTCTGTGTCTGCTTCTCTAGCACTTTCTGCTGCATTTCTGCCGCCGCTTCTAAGTAACCTTGCTGTCTAAGCGTGTTGGCGAGGTTATTCATCGCCCCAATTGTGCAAGGATGGTCTTCACCCAATTTCTGCTTCTGCTTCTCTAGAACCTTCTTCTGCATCTCTGCCGCCTCTTCTAGGTATCTTTGCTGTCTGAGCGTTTTGGCAAGGTTACTCATCGCCCAAATTGTGTGAGAATCGTTCTCGCCTAAGATCCGTGAAAATTTCTCAAGCACCACCTTCTGCATATCTGCTTTTTTATCAATGTTTCCTTGCTCTCTAATCATAATGGTAAGATTGGCAATCACACGCGGCATCAGACGAAACTTGTTGTCTGTCACGCGACCACAGCCCTCTATCGTCTCCATGATAAGTCCAAACGCTGCCTGACTGTACTTGCCCTTCTCCTTTGTCGTGAGCCGTTCGTATCCCCAGGCATGTACTAGCTTGTGCATCACATAGCCCTGCTTCTTGTCGTTCCACTGTATGAGTGAATACCTTTCCAGCTCCTTGAACCAATCTTCGATCTTGTACTTGGTTACTGGCTGCTTCGGCGAGACCAGGCGTTTCCAGCTTACGCCAGTCTCACCTATTTGTTCCAAAACACCATTCTCGGTTTCGGGGCAGAAAAGCTCAACGTATATCTCGTCGGAACTCAGGAATGATAGTATTGTCATCAGAATTGATGCCTCAATACACTGGTTGGAAACGGCAGCGTACGACGTCTCCCACGTCGTCAGCACGCTCTTGTTGTACTGATGCACCAGGCTCTCTGGCTTGTGTTGAAGCAGCTCCTGTCGTCGCTGCTGGTATTCAGGTAGGTACGCCTTGATGTTGCTCCGTAGCCGCGGCGTCAATCCCACATATGTGGCAGCAAGCGTGACAGCCAGTGCCAGACACCCAAGCTTTTTGACAATATGCATCACCTCATCTCTAACAGTCGCATCAAAGTGCGGCAGATGAGCATAGTTCCGAAACAGCTCAACTGCTTGTCCTGCCTCCATCTTGCCCACCTCCACCCCCTCTAGACGCGTCATATCTTTCGCCCTGCTGTTGCGAGTTGTGATGATGACATCGAGAGATGCTGTGCTGGGGATGAAGTGCTTGATGTCGATATAGCCGTCTGCATTTGCGTCCTCAATTGTATCGGCGCCGTCAAACACCATTAGCCGCCGCCCTTGCCGACCCGCGAACCAGCTCTTTACTCCAGTCACGGCATGCTCTACGCTCGTCATCTCCGAATTTGACCCAGCAGGTGTGTGCTCCGGAAACAGTATCTGGTACAGGCGCACAAAGTCGCGCTCCAGCGACTCCTTGCGGTCGGCCTCGATCCAGATCGTCGACTTATAGTACTTCTCTTCGCGACGCTTCTGCGTGTAGTCTAGCACCAGTTGCGTCTTGCCTGACCCACCTAGTCCCCACACTACGAGCGTCTTGGTGCTGTTATCTGTAGCAACGCGGGTGAGCTGCGTGTGTATTTTGTCGTGCAGGCTGCTTCGTGGGACGAACGCTTTGACGGGCTCGGACGCAGCATACGCGAAGTGGCCATCAAAATCAGGCCGAGTAGCCACTGGGGAGCCTTCACGGTGTGAGCTTGGAACTTCTGGGAGGTGCTAATAGCGTTGGAGCGCGACTCACTAGAGGGGGCGGAAATGTGGACTACAGAGTTGCCCTGGAATACATATGCTTTATCCCTGACGTAAGTATCACGAAAACAGGAACCTCCCTGGTGGATTCGCCCCTCGCTAGATCGCCCACTCTCCGGCTGCGCAGGCGGATTTTGTGGCGACATGAAGGAGACTCTAGATCGGGAACTATGGATGAAACCACAGACATTTGATTACTTATGTACCAGAGAGTCATGGAATGACTGTTGCCTGCCCTAAGTTCGCCCAGCCGAAATATAACAGGCGGGAGCGGGCTGCAGGTACTGAGCCATTGGCTCAGATCGGGCTGGAAGGGCTATAATTGGCAGCTGTCGCCCCCGTGACTACGGATAATAATTTGCCTGAAGGCTTTAGAGTCGGCTGCGGAACTCTGCAGACTCGTGTAGTAGCTGCTGGAGCTGTGATCCAGCTCCTATTTTTGATCAAATGTTTTCATATCTGAAATGCTAGGTATTATTTGTGTGCTTGCCTCATCGCTCGACTCCAAAGAGCAATGCTCCTGAGTAATCACATTACAGGGATCAACGCTACCCAAAATAGACTTCAGAAATAAGGTTTCAATTCTATCTGTTCTTGTTTATCCACTCAGCTGTCCATTCATCCGATTCCCTGTGTTAACCTTTGCTTTGTTTTTGGAAACAATATCAGCATAGTCTGATCCCTTCTGACTGACATCCCGTGGGACAACGCCCTCTACGGAATTGCCTGTCGTAATCATAGCATCTTCGCTGGCCGTAATAGTCCCTTTATAATTCGAACCTTCCTGGACGAGTCGATTACAGAGTGGCTGAGTTGGGTCTTGAGTCAACTTGGATTGTGGTGTATTGGCATCGGTAGAGGATGGTGTAACGGTCTCGGTACTGTGTCCGTTGGTGAAATGCGGAGGCGAAGTACTACTACTATAATGCTTACCGACTTCCATCGCTTAGCTTCTGACCAGAACGACCGAAAGGGCTGGACGACATTTTCAGGGACAAATGTGTTGAGTCTTGGTATGATGAAGGATGAATGATAGATAGAAAATCACATTGTGTAACACTCAAACATCTTATATACATACATATCTGCGACAAGATCTTCCAATTCTGCTCAAACAGATGCTGCACAAATGAGCCTTGGGGCTTTGTGCAAAGATGATGAAGTGGACGCCATCAGTCTACATGACCCATCCTTGATGCAGCTTACCACAAGCTAATAGGACAGCCCGAAAAGATTGCAGAAGGAGGGTGTTGAGTAGACAGGCGTGTAAACATACCGCTGGCCACTTCTCTCTTGCTGGAACGCCACAACTTCAGCCTTGCAGCTAAAATCCAGCCTTGCAACTAAATTTCAGCCTTGCAACTAACGTTCAGCCTTGCAGCATAAGTTCTGCCTCCAACAGGTAGTGACGTGGCGGACATAGAATGGCCAAGATCTCATGTGGCATACGCCGTAGAGTCCTTCGAGAGGGGTATGCAAGTCGGGGTTGGATTAGATGTTCCTCCTCTTTGAACTAATACCAAGGAATTCCAATCAATCAAGCGGTTATCGCTAAAGTCATAGAAAGAACGGTCGCCCCAAGTTGTGACAAGCAATATCGTCAGTAAAACTTGTAGTATTACTGCCTTGATATTCATTCGTTATGCCACCGAAGGCTTCGGAGGTGAAAGTTGCACGGCGGATTGATCAACGTAGCACCTGCGCTTGAGTGACGCTGCATTGGCGAACAATTGGGGGCATCTAACGGACCGATGAGCAACAGGCTTATTTTAACAGTACACTACGCAAGCTACCGAAACACAAGCAGTGAGCTTGTGGCCTGATTATTAACATCCTTTGGGCTGGCTAACACTTATCTCATCCCGATATATAAGTATGGTGAGGCTCTGCCAACATTACTGCAGCGGTAGCCTCGGCACAGCCCCGACAACCCCTCTGTTTTCGCAATCCCACGATCTATAAATGTCATTTGCTGCACTCCGATCATGCGTCTACTAGAGTTCGATAGCCAAAAAGAATTTAGCGTAACAAAAGATCTTCTTAACGAAGTACCTCCGTATGCGATCCTGTCGCATACCTGGGAGGCGGATGAGGAAGAAGTCACCTTGCAAGACATAGTGACAGGTAGTGGTAAAGACAAAGCAGGGTATAGAAAGACTCAGTTCTGCGCGCAACAAGCTGCTCGTGATGGTCTGCGCTACTTCTGGGTCGACTCTTGTTGCATCGATAGATCGAACTACACGGAACTCTCAGAGGCGATCAACTCAATGTTCCGCTGGTACAAGCACGCAGCTAAATGCTATGTATACCTCGCCGACGTCTCAGCCAGTACTTGCAGCCAGACTAGTCAGCCGCCTGAGGAAACATGGGTGCCCGAGTTTCGAAACAGCAGATGGTTTACTCGAGGCTGGACGCTTCAGGAGCTTCTTGCGTCCCCGGAGGTTGAGTTCTTCTCTCGCGAAGGCATTAAACTCGGGTCTAAGAAGTCGCTGGAGCAGCAAATCCATGAAATAACGGGCATTCCCATCCAGGCACTAGCAGGATGTCCCTTGTCTGATTTCAGGATTGAAGAAAGACTCTCGTGGGCAGAGAAGCGCCAGACCAAGCGTGAGGAGGACGCGGCGTACAGCCTCCTCGGCCTATTCGACCTGCACATTCCGCTCATCTACGGCGAAGGAAGAAGTAATGCCAGAACCCGGCTGTTGCACGAAATAGAAAGACGTAGCAAGGGAGAACTTTGCGTAGCTCCTTCCTCGGTGACCAGCCAGTGGCAATGGCTTACTGCTGCATCTACGGAGATACGCCGATGGTTTGGAGGTGTGGGCGGTTGGACACGGTCAGCAGCCACCACTACTACTACTAATGCGTCTCGTACCTTCGCTACTACTACTACTACTACTACTACTACTACTACCACTACTACCGAACCAACACACCACATACCTCAGAGCATCACACAGAAGGGCTCCGAGTATCGAGGTGATATCACAGTTTCTGGCGGAACAGTATTTCAAGGGAACTATGTTGGACTTGGTCCCGGTATGCTGGGCAACACAAGGTGACTTGTTAGATTCTATACATCAAAGTATTACAACAATACTTCTGCCTGAACAATAGCAACCCAAACACAAAGAGCTTAGTATAGTTAAGTGCAGATAGGGTAACGCAGCAAAACCGCCAAAGCTTACCACACAGACAATCAGACGTCCTGAGAGCTGAACATTGTGCAACAGTCCAGTTATGCTATAATCAACCGGCCCCGGAAGTTAAATCGCGACTTTTTGTCTTTCGTGGACAAATTGAGGCGTGAAGTTGGAAGTGGCGCTGCATGGCTCTGCACCGTACCAACAACAGCAAAAGGGGGGGCCCCCAACCGTCGCATACATTTATCATAATCGCATCGTGACAACGTGTTACCACTAGGTTTGCCAACATACGATGGAAACATGTCTGAACCACAACTCGATTGTACCACGGCATTTTTTTTTCTGGCAGTTTAATTCGGGAACATAGCTGGTCGTGAACATATTAATCATTTTTCTTTTGGTTCCACTACTTGAAAAGAAGATGAGCGTAGAAGAGACGCATCAGAAAAGTCTTTGGCAGAGAGGGAGGAAAAAAAAACGCAACTAAAACAGTACACGTTTTGTAAGAATACGATGGAAATTTCGTTGACGGTACACTACTAACTTCTTAACCCTAGCATCTACCGGTTTACCTGTAGCCCCTGTATATCCCATCACACACGCCAACACTCCTCCGTACAAGACCAAACTTGCTTATCTACCTCTCAAGCATTTTCCCTTTCCTACTTCCCGCTCCCGTTCCCTTTTGGCATGTAACGCATTAATTATTTCAGTAGAAAGTGGTTTTGTTTGTTGAGTTTTGGGGAATGTTTTTCCTCCAATCACATATTCATAATACTGTCGCGCGGGGACGCGAATCGGGCCGATGAGGGGGGGGGGCTTTGCAGAATAGAGGGTGTTCTGTTTCATTTGGATGGTAATTTTGCGGAAGAGAGGGAGAGAGAGAGGAAGAGTACAAGAGTTTTCTGTTTGGAAGAGGGTGGGATGAGGGCATCGAGTAGTACGCCTTTCTCTCCACAAAGAAACAAGTGAAAGGTGAACATGGAAGACAGACATCAAATGAACTTTTTTCATCTTTCATATCTAGTGTGAACGAGAGAGAGAGAGAGAGAGAGAGAGAGAGAGAAGGGGGGTTTACAATTCCAACACCGCCCTCAAACTCTCCCTAAACCCCTCCTGCTCCACGCCCCTCCCAATAAGCACCAACTTACCCTCTGCACTCCCCTCGGTAGCATCACCATCCAACTCATTGGTATCATAGATACTCCTCACACCCTGCGTCAGGAGGACTTTACCCCCCTCAACAGGCGCTCGTCCCTTCAGCCTGTGAATCTCAAACGGCTTGTGGGGAACATCGTTTGGTAGCGTCTCCTCCCACAGCAGGGTACGCAGAAAAAAGTCGTACTTGTCTACTTGCTCGCGGGACAAAGCGGGGAACGTGATTGTCGAGGTAGCAATGGATGGATCGAGGTGGGAGTGGCCTTTTGATGCAAAAGTTAAATCTGCCTCTGTGACTTGATCGTAAGCGTGGAGGTCGAGGACGAGGCCTTGGAGGTCTGGGATTTGGCTTTTTGTTGTTGTTTTGATGCGGGCGAGGCCGTTTATTGAGCGGACGCGGTCTGTAACGTTGGCGAGTTCGTCGGGGGTGACGAGGTCGGTTTTGTTGATTATGACGACGTCTGCATGGCTGATTTGGAGATGGGCGGTTGTGAGTAAGGGGCCGTGGTGATCGTCATGGGCATTCTTTTGCGACTGGAGTTTTTCTTCATCGTCGCCGAGGCCTTCGTCGAGGCTTTTAAGCACATTTTTGGCGTCGACGAGGGTGACGATACCGTCGAGATAGATGCTGCTGCCGAGGCCGTCGTCGAGCCAGAACATGGGGGCGATGTTACCTGGATCCGCAAGACCGGTGGTTTCGAGCAGGATGTAGTCAAAGAGGCCGGATTGTTCCATTAGGTTTTCGATTGCGGCGACGCCAATGTCTTTGACGGAGCAGCATATGCAGCCGTTTGCTAGTGGAACGAAGGGAGCTGGCTGGGCGGATGTGGAGTTTGCATCAGAGACGGTGAGTTGCTTCTCAATGTCGATTGCTGTTCTCATATTGGTCAAAAGTCCGAGTGGCGAAGAAGTAACACGTACAGTCACCAAACTCATTGAGAATGACAGCAATTCTCTTTCCATGTTCCTCAGTCAGGATGTAGTTAAGTAAAGTCGTTTTGCCAGCGCCGAGATATCCAGTGACTATGGTGATGGGAACTTTTTTCTGCGGCGCATCTTCTGAGCTACCCACGAGGTTTGGAGCTTCATCATCTTGGTCATTCAAGGCTTTTGTGATGTTTTCTGGTTCAATGAGACTTGGCACCTCGTCGTCGGATGCATCGGCACTCATGGTGACTCAGGCAACGGTAGATGGAAAATAGAGATTGAGGGGTTTAAGTAAGTCGTTGCAAGATTATGAGTATATGTACCTGAGACACATTAGAAAAACTTGCACATATTCAGTTACCAGGATTGTACATGTTATAGTGTACGTAAAAAACACCAAAGCATAGGCGCATTGACCCAAGGTGAGAGACAGGTCATGTAAATGGAAGGAATTTGCAATTGCGGGGGGGGGGGGGGAACAGTACTGTACAGCTATGGTGATACTGACGCAGATGTATCTTGAAAAATAGTTTGCTCCCAAGTGTCTCTGTAAAGACAAAAAGACTCGAAGAATACACCCCAGACTGTGTGCAAGCCAATAGACCGACCGAGCAATGACGTCGTGCGGAGGGGAGCAAAAATGTGACCCGCAAAGACTCTAGCGCAATCGCGTACTGGGGCAGCATCCCTGCACATGTGCCCTGCGTCGGCAGCCAGCTCCAGATAGACCGAAAGTCAACAACACGCTACACCCCACCCCAAGGTCTTGCCTGTGTCGATTGCGAGGCCACTCTACAAGTTCCCGCCCCCTCAATTGCTCTTAACAGTATCGCCATGACGTCGCCCGCTTCGCCCCGTCTTCCCAGCCCGCCACCTATCCCTGAAGACCAGCTGTCGCCAATTGCAGCCTCATCAGACCAGCAGACACCCTTCAGCAACCTCGACCATGTCGCTGAGCGAAGGATACGGCCGGGGACCAAGGCGGCAGACATGGCAGAGGGCCCTCCGCTTGTAGAACTTTCAGAGGTGGGCATGGCCCGCTTGCAAGATGCAAAGGCGCATGGCTAACATTGGGCCAGATTGATTCAGCGTTCCAGCTCACGGAGCACCTCAAGGCGCTGCACAACTTCCTCACGCACCCGATAGGAGCAAATGGCACCGTGCCCGTAGATCGAGAAATGGCCCTCAAAATTGCACATGCGCCCGAGAATGTGGACAGGACGCTGTGGCTCTACGAACTGTGCCGCTTCCTCATACAAAAGGTCAACTCGATCATAACCGCCCTTTTCGCAGATAGCCCGCCATGCTCGTCGTTGACTTGCCCGGAGATGCGTGCGTCGGAGTGGCAGTATCTGTGCGCGGTTCACGACCCACCAAAGTCATGTTGCGCCATTGACTACTGCTGTCACACGCTCGACTGGGCGGCCAATACCCTCACATCGCCAAAGCACTTTCCATCACGCCTCGCGCTGGGGACAGATCAGTCGACGCAGCACTCACAGACACGACAGCTCACCAACATTTTCAGACGTGTGTATAGGATATTCGCACACGCATGGTACTCGCACCGGGATGTTTTCTGGCATGTTGAGGGACGCACGGGGCTATATATTTTTTACAAGACAGTCTGCGACGTGTATGGCTTGGTGCCAGAAGACAACTACACCATACCGCCCGAGGCAGAGGGTATTGACCACAACTCAGAGACCAAACCAGCAGCGCCGCCTCTGATCTTGAAGCGCGAGCCTTCGGACTCGGGATCCCAAATTTCCGACAACACGCTGGCCGGGGCCATGTCTGACCACTCGCTTTCAACTGCTGGCACTACAAAGCGACATAGGCATTCGCCATCGGTAGGTGCGACAATTGTACACACTGTGGTAGAAGAGAATGAAGAGGAAGAGGAGCAAGCAGACCTCAACCTCAACGCCCGGCCTGTGACCCAAATCTTTGAGCCCGCAACACCAGAGGAAGGCGGAGAGGGCGATGACGACGATGAAGATGAAGAAGATGATGAAGATGATGAAGAGGGCGAAGACGGTGACGGAGATATCACGACGATTGAAGACGGTGACGACGAGGGGGACGAATCCGGTGCTAAGAATGCCAAGACGGGAGCATCAGAGAGCAAAAATGATGACAAAGAGGAAACAGTGAGCACTGGGAATGAGAAGGCCGGGGATCCTGCACCTGCGGACGATAATGAGGCTTCGGGCGAGAGCGCCACAGAGGCAGCCAAGAATGACGGGACCGAGGCCTCGAGTGAGGCAGCTGCGGGGAAGGAAGGTCAAGCAGAGTCTTCAGCCACTGGTGATGACAACGACAAGGCGACTGCTGCGAAGGCAGAAGAGAGCGAGGAGACTGGAGATGCTACAAAGGCGAGCGACAAGAAGGACGAGGCCAACTCGCAAGCGGCAGAGTAGGTACTTGTCGAGGGTGAAGTGGAGTGATCAGACGGAAGCGGCTATTACCATACCATGTATTATTTTGTTTTTTCTTTTAGCGAAAAAAATAGTAAGACACGACGACTTGGCGGGGTCGATCAGAGGGGCCTGTCGTGGATCTCGTGTAAATGTATGATGTATAATGTAGTATACACACACAAGTACGTACAAACATTGGTCACGCGTGCCGTGTGTGGTCTTGTGAAGGGGGGCTGACGTCAGACAGTCGTATGCTCGAGTGCAAGCTCACGATGGGAGGAGGGCTGACAGGAGGAGAAGACGACGACGACGAGGAGAAACTGGCGTATGGACTTGCATGCGTACGTAACTGTGGTCTGGCAAGTCGACCCGACGTGCTTGTTAGGTTGGCGACGGCGCAAATAGCGTCCGCGGGGCGAAGAGAGCTTATCGCTAGCGTGTGCCGTGGAGATGGAAAAGACGGCAACTACGACACAACTTGATGAAGTTGTATAGCCAAGCGATCATGAGTAAGAAGAGGAGCCGGTGGGAGGGAGGGACATTGCAGGAGGACGAGAGGGTGCAGCTCTTGAAACGCGGAGGATTGCGAAAAGTAATGCGTGCAAATCTGTCGGGACCTGCAAACGGTGACGCGAACTTTGACTAGCCGTTGGGGGGAAAGGGCTGTTGTTTTCTTCTTTCTTTGCAGAAGCGCTCTTGTGATGTCAGATGCATATATGTATGTATGCAATGTACATGTGCATGCATGCGTGCTCTGTGAGAGCCCGTGGCTGGCGCGACCAAGCCTTTTTTTCTTTCAAGAGAGACAAGTTTGGTCGTCTGGCGGGCGATAGGTTTGGACTGGCAAGGCAGGCAGCATCGAATGCGGCGAGAGGAGCGGAATGGACAGCGGCCGAGATTCCGGGCGGTGCATATGCAGGTGGTGGTGGAGTGACGACCGGGCCGCGCCTTATTGGCAGATGCGCAGGGCCCGGGCGCGGCACTAGCTGGCTGGGTAAACTGCTGGCCAATGGGAGGGTGCGAGGGCGGGCGGCGCTGGATGATGAGGTGTGGAAATTAGTATTGGTCGGGCTTTGTGGAGAGTGTTTGCAAGCCAGCGGGCGAGTGCGAGTGAGCGAGCGAGTGAATTAGCGACAATGTGTGTGTGTGTATGTGCGGGAGTGTGAGTGTGTGGATGTGCTCCTGCCAAGTCAGTACAACAGCCGAGGGATTTAATGTACTTAGACCAACGAGATTTAATCATCTGAAATGCACGCCGCGATTCATGGAATTGGTGGATCAAGGCAAGCAAGTAGCTGTGGATGGACGTTTGCATTTACACGGAATGCTATGCAGTCGTGTAGCATACTTCGCACCAGCACCTCGGAGAAGGCGTTTGGGTCAGTCGCAGTGCAGCCCCCACGCGCGCCGCCGCCGCCGCCAATCCCGCGCAAGAGCGAGGGCCCGTCGCCCTTCTCCACGTCGTCCTACTGCAGGGTGGTTGATGTTAGAGCCTCCTTGTCCCAGCTGTGCCGGCGGCCCTGTCGCGGTGCATGCTAGGTGCAAGTAGTACATAGATGGCATCGAAACTCCCTACACAGACGTCGCGTCGGTTGATTGCGCGAGCAGGTGGTGGTGGCCATGGCCAGGGGCCGGGAGGGGGGGCCCTGCATCTACCCCTCACCTCTTCAGCCAGGCGTGCACCCCAATTCGAGATATTATCCACTGCCACGGCACATGGCCTCTTATCGCGGCTACTGCGCAATCACTTGGTCAAGTCGCCTGAGCCTGAGCGTCCGTCGCTCGGCAGCCTGAGCAGCGCAGCGGCAGCCCAGCCAGCTTACATACTGCTCCCGCCATTCCCCATTCACCTTGCCCATCCCATCCTCTCCTACCCGCGCCCGTCCTGCTGCTCCCACTCGACCTGCGCACTTGCACTTGCTTTTCCCCACGCTCCAGGGTGCACACTTTGTCCAACCCCCCGCACACAACCCACTCGACGCCTCTCGACCGCACCCGTCCCTGCAAGTCATTGCCCAGACCATCGGTGATTTACGAGACGCTCTCGCCCGCCCCTCCAGGCGGCTCCCCGTAGTCCTACACACCCACACATACTACTTACTACCCGCGCACCCACACGCGCCCAACACTTGCCACACCACCACCACCACTACCGCTAATGAGTACCTGAATCTACTCGACACCCCTCTTGTTCATTTCTCCACAACATCTCCCCCAAGAAAAAAAATCCCCCTCGATTTCCCCGTGCCTCTGCCTTCCACGCAGCGTGATTTCCAAAAGCAGCATGCTCGCCCACCACCCAGCGCCTCTTGACTAAACATCAACATCCATTGTTTGCCAACAACCCGACACGCGAGTCGTCTCGCCACCCGCCCGCCCAACCACGCGCACACCCTGCCAAAGCCCGCGACACACGACCTTGGCCTTGGTTCCCTCGACCCCGCTGGCTATGACGGCGCAAATCCTCCACATGCATCCTGCGCACGCGTCGGATTTGAGAAAGATCCAGACGCATTTTGGAGACAAAATGGACAGCGCTGTTGGTGCTGCCAGCGAGCCCCCAACCCCCGCCTCGCCTGACAGCGGCGAAGCCCGCGGCCGTCGACGCGACAGGGACGACGATGGCGACACGGCCGATGGCGACGGCGACGGCCATGGCTCCTCGAGAAAGAGGCGGCGCAGCAGAAAGGGCCTCGACAAGAAGTTTGAGTGCCCCCACGAGGGCTGTGGCAAGAGCTACTCCCGCGCAGAGCATTTGTACCGCCACCAACTGAACCGTGAGTTGCATTATTTACCATCATGTCTAGCAGCACATTGACTATCCTTGGACAAAATAATAATAATAATAATAACAATTGCCTGGGGCAGCCATGGTGCTAATGCTATGCGCAGATAATCCAAAGCAAATATACCACTGTGATTTCCCAGACTGCCATCGCTCCTTTGTCCGACAAGACCTCTGCGCGCGCCACAAGGAAAGACACACGGCCCGCGGCTCGCAATTGCTGCGCAAAGACACTTTCAACATGCACAACCTAAACCCCATCGTGACTGCCGCACTGGGAGGAAAGAGCGCACCACCTCCCAAAACGCTGAGCATGAAGAGCCAAGGACCACATGGCCTGCAATCTCCAGCTTCTGCATCTTCCAACGGAGCACCCAGCGCGCAAATGTCACCGCCAAACTTCCAGTCGCCAACCCCAACCACAGCAACGCATAGCAGGCAAGACTCGCTGCAAAGGGCAGGGAGCGATGATGCCTACCGAGGCAGCTCCGAGGCCAAGCCTTATGATATGCAGGCTCAGAATTCAGGGAACTTTGCACCCCCACCCCGTCCGGCCGCATTGGGCAATTACGGGGGAGGCCGGACGTCTCTCCACAACTCCCCACATGTGGGTAATGGCAGCTTCACACGGCCCGAGCTACGCGCGCAGACGTCAAACGTGAGTTCGTACAGCTCAACATCACCCTACAATTCGACCGTCACCCCGTCGCCATACACCCACTCGGCCTCGTCGACCAGCTATCAAAACAGCGCAAGTGCGTATCAATCAGTGCAAAATTTCCCTGCGTTCTCCTCCTTACCTCCACCAGAATACCCACAATCCACTGGCACCCCTGCGTCTCGAGAACATGAAAACCAATACTACAATGGCTCGTCCGCACAGACTCCTGTCAATGGCGTCGACTCTTCAGCCCACATAGACAACCGCATGCAGGGCGTATCCGACGCCATGATGGACCAGAACCCTGCATACTCCATACCAATGTTTGGCAGTGCTGGATACAGCCGATCACCATTCGCCATGGCCGACGACTTTGCTGCCTGGCTGTTCAACGACAACCAGTTCAACCCTGGAGGTGGATCACCCATGGACTACCCCGGCGGAGTCAGCTCTACAGGAGGCGCGTCAAGTCAGATTGGTCTTCAAGCTCCGTACTTCAACTATGATCCCTCGGTGGCTGGTTACCTGAACAACCCTGTACCGCCTTCCCACCCCATGGCTGTTCACAGCATCTTGGACACCACTCTTCCGGAATCTGCCCTGTCGGAAGAGAAGCGCAAAGATCTCATTGACTTGATTCATCTCCGTTTCAACGAGACTGACCATGCACCAGTCAAGAAGCAAAAGGAAGACATCATGGATGGCGACAAGGACGATAGCCGTCACGTCCTGAGTCTTCATATGATGCAGACGTACATTAGCTCGTACTGGGTTCACTTTCACCCGCAGCTGCCGATACTGCACAAGCCAACCTTCAACGCTAGTACTTGCCCAGACCTCTTGCTGCTCGCCATCATGTGTCTAGGAGCGTCTTGTCTGGAGAAGACGTATGGCCGGGAAACCACACAAGCGTGTGCTGAGCTGGCCAACTTCTTCGCCTGGCACTTGCGCTGGGAGATGTTTATGGATGCCGATTTCCGCCCACCCGCCAAACTTTGGATATTCCAGGGGCTGCTCTTGCTCGAGAGCTTCGAAAAGATGTACTCGACGCGCCCACTACATGAGAGAGCGCATATTCACCATGCAACAACACTGACGCTAATGAGGCGAGGAAGCTCGTTGATTGGTCGTTCGGCCATGGACTCACCTCCCAGCGTCAAGGACGGCAAAAGCAATGGAATTGCAAACACGCCAGACGAGTGGTGGAACCATTGGATCACCAACGAGGCTACTCGGAGAGCTGCTTTTGCCGCATTCGTCATGGACAGCATCCACGCCACCATGTTTGGCCACAGCGCTGTCATGGTCGCCCACGAGATGCGTCTTCCTTTGCCGTGTGACGAAGCCTTGTGGTCTGCGACGAGCAGTTCTGAAGTGGGTCGGGTTGAGCAGACTCTAACATCAAACGGCATCAAGCCCATGTCGTTCCTTGACGGCCTTAAGAAGACACTCAATGGACAGTCGGTCCGTACAAACTCGTTTGGGCGCACCATCCTCATGGCCGGCCTGCTAAGTGTATCATGGCACATGAATCAGCGAGATTTGCAGGTCAGCTCTCTCGGTGTTACTACAGCGTTGGGTGGGCGCGATAAATGGCGAGGTTCTCTCACTCGGGCTTTCGACTTTTGGAAGCAGGACTTTGACAACTCACTCAATCGATCGAACGAGTCGTCTTCCTCAAACTCACACAGCCATTCTCGAGGTATCGACGACGATATTGTCTTCGAGTCCCGCACTGTCCTCCACCACCTGGCGCACATGGCTATGCATGTGGATATTGTTGACTGCCAAATTTATGCCGGAGCACCCAGACTACTCGGCAGGTCAATAACGCCACAAGACTACAATGGCGCTCAACGCCGGATGAAGGATGTATGGGCCCCCACAGCCCGAGCCCGGGACGCCACCTTTTACGCTCTACGCTTCCTGTCTAGCGTCATGGTTGCTGGGGATCATAGTCTGAATCCCAGCACCGCAGCAACTGCTGGCATTTCTTACTCTGCACGCGACGATTACCTCCTCAACCGACCGTGGGTGCTGTATTTTGCCACGTTGATTGTGTGGTCGTATGGATTCGCACTCGACGGACCAGTCAAGGAGCCTTACCAGCTTCCTACTTATGACGACAAGGTCAGAGACATGGTCTTGTATCTCAACCGGGTTGGTGGAGTCAGGTCGCCTGAGGACTTGAGCAAGGTCACAAACCGCAATGCCTGCTTGGGATTGCTCATCATCATGAGGGATATGTTCAAGAAGACAAGATGGGAGTTGCTGCACGAAGCAAGCAACTTGCTGAACAAGTGCATTGAGATGCTCATTCCAGGTGCAACTGTGGTATAAGCACACATATGGACGATGATGTTATTCTTTTTGCTTCTCAATGCCGCAACATCGGATCTGACCAGCAAAATCTACGGGGTCAGGTAATTATGTTTATCACGAGGTTATGGTATGCCATGTATATGCTTTTCAAGGCCTGTCTTTTCTGCTGTATTTGCATTCTAGCGAAGGAGTGTTGTTTTATATGATATTTTTTTTAATCTTCATTTTCAAGGCGGCACATGGCTATTTGGAAAATGGAATGTGGGAGGGATACTGCTGAGCTACTTGCTTTATACCCCGGGGCTGGTGTGTGCTCATGCGGCATGAGAATAAATCTTTGCTTTCCACTGTATATCCAGTATTTGAATTTGGGCTGTTGTTCGAATCAAAGTGACGTGGTGAAAGGAACGCATCTACCAATCCTTGTTATTACTGTGTTTGCCATGTTCTGATGGTATATGGGGGGGTTGGCCGCTTGGAGTCTCTGCACGTGAGAGCGCGGCAACGCGTCGAACAGGGCTTTCGCGTCCTCAAATGCACGTCGCCACGGCCACTGAGACCGCGAGAGTACGATATTTGACACGTCCCATACCACCTACAAGAAAGCAGGCAAATGCTCAAGACGAACATTTCGTGTGTATAGCAAAAGCACTGCCCTTGCGCTATTGCGTCATCGATTCTTGGGCGTGGTTTTGATCAGTGCTGTTGGCTAGCCAGAACACAACAATGCGAAGACTATGCCTCGAATGAAGGCTGCCACTGTTTCGGATCAGAGAGTAAGGAAAGGGAAACGGAAAACCTGCGAGGATGACGAGGTCCAGACGACGACTACGACAAGCGTCCCTACGAAGACACACGACGGAGGGAAGAAGCCGCGGCGAGCCCCAAAGAAAGCTGGCGGTGATAAACCGCCTCTCGTGCGCCATGGATCGTCCACGCTTGTCGAAACCTCGATACCATGGCCAGAGCACTTTACAAAACTTGCTCAAGTGCATCGTGCGGTAAACCTAGTGTATACCTTTCTATGTACGCGCAAACATCTAGCGACGACGTTGGACAATCTCAAGAGCACGGTCGAGGGCAATATACAACGCGAGCTGTTGATTGAGGATGTGGCTCAAATTACGGCATTGATCCCAAAAGCGATCAACTTTTCGTACGTGGACGAGGCAATGCTGCAGATCAATCTGATGGGCTCGGAAGACAACATGCACGGGAGGCGCACAACCGACTTTGCCATACTGGGGCCTGAACCCGAAAAAGGCGAGCACAAAGAAGTGCTGCTTTTCGAGTTTATTGATGGTGATCTGAGGCGCCAGGTCCAGCATAAGAAAACTGGGGAACCGACCAACGCCACAACGAAGCTGCGCAATGAAGAACTCAAGATGCCGGTGTTTAGCCAGAAGCAGATGATGAATCTGATTGAGAAGAGGAACGCCAAGTTTACGTCGGCAATCAATGCCTTCTTGAATCAATGCGCTGAAGGTGGCGTTGATGCTGTGGAAAAGATCAAGGAGGTATCTCAGGCTTTCATTCCAATGCCGTCTGAGAGTAGGGCGTCGACTCCTGGCCCAGAAAGGTCATTGTTACCGTCTTCGATACCTGCCGAACGCAAGTCTATTCCAGATATCCTCAACGAGATTAAGACGCTTGAATGGTACACCGGCCAAATCGTACCAGACGGTCATCGAGTTTTCGATCCCCAGGAACCTGTGTATGGAGATCTTAACTTTGCCATGTCACAAAACCTCGTCAACGCCCTTTACAATACGAAGAATATCACTCAGTTGTATGCACACCAGGCTGAGGCTATCAACAATCTCTACGATGGACACAATGTGATTGTGTCTACCTCGACAAGCTCTGGAAAATCGCTCATCTACCAGATACCTGTTCTACATCAGCTGGAGCAGGAGCCAGACACCAGGGCTATGTACATTTTCCCCACAAAGGCACTGGCTCAGGATCAGAGGAAGAGCATGAAGGAGCTTCTGCGGCTCATGCCTGGGTTCGAAGATGTTTTGGTCGAGACTTTTGATGGCGACACGCCAATGGGCGATCGAAATTACATCCGCGATGAGGCGCGCATCATCTTCACGAACCCTGACATGCTGCACATTACTATTCTACCACAGGAGGACTCCTGGCGCACCTTTTTGCAGAACCTGCGGTTTGTGGTGGTTGACGAATTGCATGTGTACAATGGATTATTCGGCGCACATATGGCTTTCATCATGCGGCGCCTACGTAGGGTATGTGCAGCAGTGGGAAACCGTCATGTCAAGTTCATCTCCTGCTCGGCTACCGTTGCAAATCCCGAAGAACACATGAAGACTATCTTTGGGGTTGAGCAAGTCAGACTGACAGACTTTGATGGATCGCCGTCTGGTCGCAAGGAGTTTCTTTGCTGGAACACGCCATTCAAGGACCCTGGCGATCCTACGTCGGGACGTGGTGACTGCATGGCTGAGACTGCAAAGCTGTTCTGTCAACTTATGCTCAGAGGTGTGCGGACGATTGCGTTTTGTCGCGTGCGGAAACATTGCGAGGCGCTGATGGTGGCTGTGAAGACGGAGTTGACGAACTTGGAACGGCCGGAAGTTATTCCTCGCGTCATGTCGTATCGAGGTGGATACACACCGCAAGACAGGCGGGAGATTGAGCGAGAAATGTTTGATGGCAAACTCTGTGGTGTCGTGGCTACGAGTGCGCTCGAACTCGGTGTGGATATTGGATCTTTGGACGCTGTCATCACAGTCGGCTTTCCCTACACCATTGCCAATCTCCGACAACAGAGTGGACGTGCTGGACGTAGGAACAAGGATTCTTTGTCTGTTCTGATCGGCGATTCCTTCCCTACGGACCAGTACTACATGTCGAACCCAGACGAGATCTTCACAAAGCCAAACTGCGCACTCCAGGTGGACCTGGAGAACATGCTTGTGGTTGAAGGCCATATTCAGTGTGCTGCTTATGAGATGCCGATCAATGTTGAGACTGACGTGGAGTATTTTGGCTCTCTGCTTCCCAAGATTGCTCGTGAGCGTATGCGTCGCGACAAGGAGGGCTTCTACCACGTCAATGAGCGGTTCCTCCCGCAGCCGTCTCGCACGGTGGCTATCCGAGATACAGAAGAAGATCATTTTGCTATCATCGACACTACAAATGGCAAGAACACGGTGCTTGAAGAGTTGGAAGCCAGCCGTGCCTTTTTTACGCTCTATGACGGCGGCATTTTCTTGCACCAAGGCAACACGTATCTGGTCAAGGAATTCTCACAGGAGCGGATGCTGGCAAAGGTCGAGTATGTCAAGGTAGACTGGACAACTCAGCAGCGTGATTACACAGACATTGATCCTGTCGAGACAGAAGCCATCCGCCGCATCCCAGGCTCACGATCAAAAGCCTTTTACGGGCCAATCAAGATCAAGCAGGTTGTGTACGGCTTCTTCAAGATTGACAAGCGCCGTCGGATATTAGACGCGGTGCAAGTCGACAACCCGCCCATTATCCTCTTCAGCAAGGGCATGTGGCTCGACGTGCCGAAGTCCGCCATGGATATTCTAAAGTCCCGGCGGCTCAACATTGCAGCCGGCATCCATGCTGCTGAGCACGCAGTCCTATGTCTGATGCCGAACTTTGTCATTTCAATGCCGGGCGACGTCCGGACGGAATGCAAAGTGCCCGAGAAGGAGTTTCTGCAAAAGGAATCGACGAGGAAGCGCCCGGCTCGACTGACCTTTTACGACGCAAAGGGGGGTGCGAGTGGCTCTGGGATTAGCACAAAAGCTTTTGAGTTTATTGATACGTTGCTGCAGCAGGCATGTCAGAGACTGACGAGTTGTCACTGTATGCAAGGATGCAACGAGTGCTGTAATGACGACGCGTGCAAGCAGGCGAATCAGGTCATGTCAAAGGCTGGGGCTATGGTCATCATCATGTGTCTGCTGGGCAAGGAAAAACAAATTGATGTTGACAGTCTGCCGTGGGGCGAGGAAGATGTTGAACAGGGATTTGATACGGTGGTTGAGGCTGTGGGTGTGAGGATGGCTGAAGGCAAGGTTAGGGATGGCGGGACACTGCCCGGAGAGGGAGACGATGAGAAGATGGTGAGGGCAAAGCTGGTGGATGGAGTGTGGATCAAGGAGGAGGAAGAGGAAGAGGATCATTTTAGTAGGAGTATTCACATGTATCGGGGTGAGAGGACGTTTATTGGGGTGCACAGATAGGTAGAGTGTTTGTGTGGCACTTGGCTGTAGTGTACTATGTACAACCACGGACGCATACTACCGTGTAAACATCAAAAGGCCACGGCGCCTAACATTGCCATGTCGTCAGCGATGCAGCGCTAATACTTGGGTTGGCAGGCAGTGATGTGTAACTGTAGCCGCGGATGGTCGTACACCGCTGGTTGCTGAGACGACGACGCTTCCGCCCTTGGCAGACATTATTTTGCGCTCGTCGCACCATACGGCCCACGCTCAGGCTACATCAACAGGCGCCCCTTCAACACCAACTCGAAAGCCTCACACCGCCCTATCCACTCCAGATTTTGGACTTCGTTTCTGAACACCTGCCGAGCACCTTTGCACCACGCACACTCTCTACAAACAAACCACATCTACACAATGGTATGTAACAGACATTTTGTATCTGGTGTATCCCCGGAAAAGAGACGGTGGCATGTACACAGGGACACAAGGCCTGCCCCGCACCCGCACTGCCGCCCCCGTCTGTACCCCTTTGCACCCCGCAAGGGCGAGCAAACCCGCCGCACAAATGGCGTGTTGGACGCCAAGCAGTGAGTGCCGGACATGGAACGACGCTGCCCGTTCAAACAGACCACACAGCAGGTGCACCAAGGGCAAAACAAGGCGACGAGAAAGGAGCAAACGATTACTTTTTTTGGCCATGACCTGGCTACACTAAAACGCCTGCCTGCGGCTTGAACGCTACAAACACAACAAACTCCGACTCGGACAAACCGAAACTCGTTGCCTTGTTTTCCCTTTGCCACACACACACAGCAAAGCATCCGTCTCTCTCCGTCTCCGGCACTCCAACCACCGTTCTCTTTTTTCCACACGCACCGATAGAAAGAGAGAAAAAAGGACGGACGTTCGACTATAGATCTCGTTTGCGGCACGTTTCTAAAGGAACAATGGATAACAGTAACCAGGCGTCGACCAACTACCGTGAAGCCTTCCAGCTCT